TTGTAATCCTATCCCTTAGAAGGTCAAGGCAGGAGTTGAAGGTCACCAGGAGGTATCAGTGAGATCCTGTCTCATCAGCAAAAAAAAACAACAAAAGAGGCTCATACACTAAATCTTCACAGTGGAGCTTCAAAAGAGCATTCCCTGCCTCATGGTGTCACATCTATATTCTCAGCACTTAGGACACAGAGGCACAAGAACCATGGAATTCACACTAGCCTTAACTACATACTAAGATTTTATCTAAACTAAACCAAGAAGAATTTCTGGTCTTTATTTTTCTACAGTGAATGTCTTGGTAATCTCATCCAGTCTGGTGGCTTTGTACACTACCTAAATAGAGGACTACAAATTTATCTCCAGCTTAGACCTTTCCCTGAACACCAGACTTGCTTAACAATCCAACCTAAATGTCTTAACAAGCATCTCTAATTTACTACACCTAAAAAAGAACTACTAATCCCAACTCGCTCTTTCTACATCATCCCTAACTTAGTGGAGGGCAAATTTCCAACTGACAGACCAAAAACCTTAGAATCATCCTTAACTTCTCTCACATGCCACATGTGTCAACAAATCATATTTAATCCTCAACATACATTGAGCATTCATCTATTTCAGATACTACCTTGGTATAAGCCACCAGCAACTCTCTTCTGGATTACTAGCTTCTTTACAAGTCTTCAGGCTTCCACTCTGTTCCTCTCTGCAATTCTACAAATGATCCTTCTGAAGCTGAAAGCAAATCATATCATTCCTCTGATTAAAACTCACAGCAGGGTGCACATGCAGTCCCAGATGCTCAGGAGGCTGAGGCAGGAAGATCATTGGAGCTCAAGAATTCAAAGCCAGCCTGGGTTCCTCTCAAAAAACCAAAATCAAACAAAAAAGACCCAGCCAAATCCTTAGAATGGCTCTACAAAGCTTTAAGAAACCTGCACTCAGCCTACTGTGAACCTATTGACTGTCAATTTCTTTCTCATTCAGTTCTGGCCACACTGAGAAGAGCTTGGAATGTTTCCTCAGCTCGTTATTACCTCTACTTGAGTTATAATGGTTACTGCCCTGCCACCCCACCTACAACTCCCCACTACATACATACATACATACACACTCACACACTTTGTTTTTTCTGAGACAGGGTTTCTGCGTAGCCCTGCCCGTCCTTGGAACTGGCTCTGTAGACCAGGCTGGCCTTGAACCCACCTCTGCCTCCCAAATGCTGAGATTAAAGGTTCGAGCCACCAGCGCCCTTTATATCTCTAAGTATTACTCTCTCAAGGATGCTTACCAGTTTACCCCATTTTATACTATCTCTCCTTTAACAATAACAAATCACTCACGTTCTATAGGATTTCCTAAAACATTTTACCTTTGCTCATTCTGCATAACTGTTTATTGACCTCATTGGAATGCAAACTTCACAAGGACAAATTTTTGTTGCTCTACAATACCAACCTTTAGTAAAGATAGGCCTGTGTTTAAAAAAAAAGCAAAACTCCGCTTTTTATCATGTGTCTCCTTTATGACAGGTCCTTGAAGACTGATGGGATGAGCCTTGCCCTCACTAGCTACCCCTACACTATAATGGACACCTAATGTAGTTACTCAAATGAATATAGCCATTTCACCTGAATACAATGTCATTTATACTGTAAGAAAAGTCAACACCCACACACATGCATCTGATTAAAGAGTGAGTAGAAGACAGATATAGACCACCAGGTCCCAACTCAAACGCTAATCAAAGCAAATTTACATGTCACCTCAACTTCCCCTTTTCAAAGAACCATTTCAAACTATCCCAAGTCTGAAAGGGAATGACTTGCCTCTTCACAACCATGTTTCCCCTCAACTTCAGTCAATTTCACCTTTTATCTTAAATCACACCTCTCAATTTTCCCTAGTAACCTGGCTTGCACACACCACACTCTAAGCCAAGAGCTATTCACTCATTATCTCATGTAATCTCCTCCAAAGCCCTGGGAAGCTGCCACCACTAGGCTAACCACTCCCCACATAGGAAACCCAAATTTTCTTTTTTTTTTTTTTTTTTTTTTTTTTTTTTTTTTTTTTTTTTTTTTTTTTTTTTTTTTGGTTTTTCGAGACAGGGTTTCTCTGTGTAGCTTTGCGCCTTTCCTGGAACTCGCTTTGGAGACCAGGCTGGCCTCGAACTCACAGAGATCCGCCTGGCTCTGCCTCCCGAGTGCTGGGATTAAAGGCGTGCGCCACCACCGCCCGGCTGGAAACCCAAATTTAAAGAGAAGTCATTTGTCCCAGGTTAAATTAGCGTTCCAGTGCAGGTCTGTCTGGCTCTGAAATGCGTCCTTTAACCTTGCTTCCTCCCAGTTTGAAGCACGACTTCCTCACATGGTCTGCTATCACTCACTTCTCATTTCTTGGCCAGGCCTCATTTTCTTCAGATGTAAAACAGGTGATATTGTTCAAGATGCCTACCAACATCTTCAGTCCAGTATTAAGAAAACATTTTATAACCTATACAGGTTAATAAACAGGAAAAAAATACACATGTATCAGAACTTACTCATCACTATTAAAAACTCTGAAGCAGTAAAGCCAGAAAAGCAATAAAATCCCGAGACTGTGAAAAACAATAAACATTATTCCTCACTTGCACAGTAAAGATACACTTCAGACCCATTTTTCCACATATTATGAAAAATGTTTTCCTCCAATTAAAAAAAGGATATAATCCTATCAGCTTTTAGACTTCACCACGAAACCTGGACAGTCACTGGAAGGCTCTGCACCTTTCCTGGGGCTAGCATGCTACTTTGTACAAGGGAAGCAGTCAACACTGATTGAATTATACAAATTCCTTTTGAGATTTTTCAAGTCTCAAACCCCTATAACAGAACTTTGCTACTGGACTGAGTGTACAGTAAATCCAAACATTCTAATTAAAATGTTAATCCAAAGCCAAGAACCCAGAAAAGGATAAAGCCATGCTGGTTCATGACTGCAAGAAAGAGATGGATTTTGTTTTATTAAGACCACATAAGGGCTGGGGAGATGGCTCAGTGGTTAAGCGCACTGACTGCTTTTCCAGACGACCTGGGTTCAATTCCCAGTACCCATATGGCAGCTCACAACTGTTTGTAACTCCAAGATCTGATACCCTCACACAGACACACATGCAGGCAAAACACTAATGCACATAAAATAAATAAATAATTTAAAAAAAAAAAAAAAAAAAAAAAAGACCACATAAAGACTGTGTGTGCAGAGAGGTGATCTATGTATCAAGCCTATCTCTACAAAGCGCAGGCTGTAACTAAAAAGCCAGAGGGCAGCAGGCAGAAGGGTCTCTGCAAGCTTAAAAGTAAGCAAGATGAAACTACTCAGGCTGTTCTTATGTTGGGAACTGGACCATCAAAATTCTCCCAATAAAATTTTATACTTTTTTCTTAAGGCAACATAAGGGTTTTGCTTTTTGTGTGGAGATAACCAACACTCCAACAAAATAACTTTTGTGTTACAATACCAAAAAACTATCATGGAAGATCCAGATATTTCTGAACCAAGGTTAAAAATTTTGGCTAAGGTTTCAAAGAATGTATGTGTTATACTTCAGTTATAAAAGTTTAAGTTTCACTAGAAATCCCTATAAACGTTAACTTTGAAATGAATTTTGTGTGCCCTTAAGTTGTAGACATCAACAGGAGCGAATGGAGGTGAACAATGGTTTTCAGGTCGGTTAGTGGCCAGCACCTGTAATCCCAGCGGTCAGGAGGCTGAAGAGGGAGGATCCCCAGGTTCAAGGCCAGCCTGGGCTACACTGTAAATTTAAGATCAGCCTGGGCAACAGAATGAGACCATTTCTCTAAAAATAACAAAAACGATCTTGTGAGGGCTTAGGGAAGGAACTGACTCCAGACTCTCCAGTGGAAGCTTTCTGTTTACTTTTGTTGTTGAGGTCATCTTCGGTAAGCAGCGAAGGTTGCCCACAATGCTAGCTCAGGTGGTATTACAGGTGTATACCACCAAATCTGACGGGAATGGAAGCTTGCTGTGCTACCAGGTACTGTCCAAGAGAAACACAAAAATGTCCTAACTGAAAAGAAACTACATTTTGGACAAAACTGTATTTCGCTTTACAAGAACACTATCTTCTTTAGATAAGAATATGCAAAGAGATTTCTGGGTCTCTTAACTAAATCTTCACACGCAGCAAAAAAGTCATCCTTGTAGGTAAGATTCTGTTACCTAAGGAATAGTATGCCAAAGTGTTCATGCCTCATAATCGAGAAAAGAAACGTTTGTCAGGTTTTCACTTTCAGGTAAAAACAAAAAACAAAACTGGTGTCACCTTAACAACGAGACCAGACAAACCTCGCCACCATTACAAAACCCAAGTGCCAAAGGTGCAGACTGTGAAGCTCATAGCACTACTGGGCCAGGGTCGAGTGCCCAAAAAGGAAAAAAAAAAGAAAATCAAAACCAAGAGTGCAACGCGGGGCCCCTCCGCGGACCGCAGCGGGGAGACGCGCGCTAGGCCCTTCCGGTCGGAGTTGCCGTCACCCGTAGGCCGGGCGACGGGCCGAGCTTCCACCCGAGCCCGGGGATTCTCGGCCTGTACTCGCGGCGTCCTATAACCGACTTTGGCCTCAGCGGCGCCTTGGACTATGCACCGTGGTTTGCAACAGAAGCCCGGGGCGCCGCCGAGTGTCCCGGAGGAGCCGCGGGGAGCGCCGAGCCCTGGGCTGGCCGACTGAGGACGCGGCAACGGCAGGGGCCGCCCCTCCCCCACCGGGCCGCCCCAACTGCCGCTGCTCGCGTCGCAGCGGTATCCGCGCCAGGCCCAACCGCCCGGGCAGCCGAGGCCAAGCCAGGTGGCCTGAAGTGGCTGCGCCCGGCCTGCTCCCCACCACGACGGCGCGAAGCCGCCCAGGGCCCGTTACTCCGCGCGCCGCCACCGGTGAGGACGCGCCGCCCTCGGCTGAAGCGACCAACGGCAGCGGGAGGCCGCGGACCTGAGACTTACTCAGGGGTCGGGTGCTCGGGATCGTAGAAATCCCCCATCTTCGGTGGCGGCTGCGACGGCAGCTGCTTCATGAGGAGCAGCTGGAGGCGGCGACGCTAGCCCCCTCCCCGCGGCAGGCCGAGGCGGGGGAGGGGACCGGAGGGGAGGAGGCCGCTGGTCCGATCGCGGCGGCGGCAGGGGCGGCCCGCGTCGCTGGCTGGCTGGCTCGCCCGCTCACTCCCTCCCTCCCTCCGGCAACCGCCCGCCGCTCTCTCCCTCACACACTCCGGGAGCACCGCGCACCCCGCCCGCCCTGCAGCCTCGCAGGCCCAGCCCCTTAAAGAGACACGCACAGGCAGCCCACCGGCCGCCAGTCGGCGCGCCAGCCCCAGCCCGCCGACCCTGGCAGGGGCGGGTGCAACCCGCGGGCCGGGCCGGGCCTAGCCTGCGGCTTCCCGGAACAATAAGGCCCAGGGCTGAGTGTTGTAGGCGGGTCCCGGAGCTGCAGGGCCGACGTCGGGGAAGCCGGCCGAGGCCCTCGGAGCCCTCCACCACCCGAAGCCCGGGAGCCCTCGGAGAGCCCGGCCTCCAGGCTGCGAGGTAGCGCAGCTGCCGCTCTCGCCCCTGTATTTCTTCTCCCTTGCCTCTTCATCCCGCTCTCAACGCGAACCGAAGCCAAGCTAAGCTGGGGACGCTTCTCGGGCCGGGCTTCTCGGATACGCCCTCCTCCTGCCAGCCTCCCGCCTGGTCTGCTCCCGCCGCCCCCACCACCGTGTCCCGCCACCTCCTACCTTCCTCTTCTCCGCAGTATTCTGCCCACACCCCCAAAGTCTGAAAGGCTATGTTTGTTCTTAAGGCCTCGGAGGCAGTGCCTGGGGAAAAGGTTATTAATTACCTTCTTGCAAAAAAGAAAAACAAAAAAAGAAAGTTAGATAACGTGAAACTACGAGCTTCTTGTTTCTGGAAGGAGAAGCAGGAATGCGCAGGAAACTATTAGCTAAACGACGCTGAATGTATAGCAGTTGCTTATCACGAAACTGGCAGTTAATAGAGAGTTCAAGTCTTTGTGGAATATTTTAGCCACTAATTTTTTAATTGGATTTACCAATAAATTGAAATATGATCTAACAGAAATCCTTCACTGGCTAACTTTGCCATGTTGTTGATGTTGTTTAGACAGGGTCTTCTATAGTTTAGACTTTCCTTGAACACTTGAATGTACACCCTCTTGAGTGCTGGGATTCTAGCTTTTAAAATGTATTTTTAAAATTGTGTATGTATGGTGTGTGTTGAGGCACACACATGCACATGTGTGGAGACCAGAGGACAAGGTTAGCGAGTCCATTCTCTCCTCCCACGGTGTGGGTCCCAGGGATGTAACTTACTCATAAGTCTAGGCAGCAAGTGTTTTTATTGACTGAGTCATCTCACAGGCTCCTAAAATGTTTTTTTTTTTAACTTGTATGTAGACTAGCAGTATCTATTTTCTTTCTATCATTTCATGTAGAGGTTAATTTTTTTTTCCTGGTAACTTTAGGCATATCATGGAGGTTCAAGGTCCACCAAACTCTCTAGGTTTCAATCTCCCACAGCCATTTTGTTTTGCTTTGGTTCTTGAGTTTTCACTTGTGGCACTGGAACTTGCTGCGTACCCTAGGCTCACCTTAAACTCAGAATCCTTCTGCCCCAGCCTCCCTGATGATGGGATCCCTGGTGCCAGACCGCACACCTGCTGCTGCAGAGGAAAGTTTAAATGTGAACAGATTCACTGATCAAAGAGGAAAGGAGGTGCTTGTGAAACCCTGAGCTTCCTCTTTTTCTTGACTTCTTTGTATGTTTTTTTTTTGAGACAGGGTTTTGTGCATCCCAGCTGGCCTTGACCTCTGTGTGTAGCCAATGATGACTTGAATTTCTCATTCTTCTGCATCTACCACTCAGTGCTGAGATTACAGGCATGAATCACCACAACCAGTTTATATGGTGCTTGGGATTGAACTCCAGGCTTGCTGAATACTAGACTAACACTCCACCAACTGAGAAACATCCCCAGTCCATGAAACCCTAAACTTTAACAGATGTCAACACATTTTAGGTTATTACAGTCCAATGAATAACTTCTGGCACTATGAAACCAATACCAGGTAATTTCTAGCCATATGACACTGAGCATGGCTATTTCTCTGGTTTCTACTGCCTTGTGTATACAATAGGAGTGTATCTACCACACAGATAATATTGTGAACCTGTTTGTACAATGCCTCTCATTAAACAGTAAGGTATCTCTAAGGCTTTTTTTTTTTAAGACAGATTCAATATGTATCCCAGGTTTGCCTTGAGCTTAAAGTCCCCCTGCCTCAGCCTCTCTGTGCCACCACGCCCAACTCTTAAATTTTGAATAGATTTGGAATGCTTTGCCTTAAATGCCACACAAGCCATTGGCAGCCACATTGGCATTAGAATAGGCTATTTTAGGTGGAAACTATAAGTTGAGAGGAACCTAAAATGAGGTGTGCCAGTTTCCTTAAAAACAAAGTAAGCAGTTCTTTAGCAGGGGACAGAAGAGCAGTACTTGCCAGGGTGATGGTAACATTAGTCGGGTTAGAACCCAGTGGAGTAAAAGCATGTCAAACCATGGGGGTCAGTGGAAATTGTAAGGCCCATGGCTCTTTGATTCAAACTTTTCAGGCAGCATCTTTGAGACAGTATTCAGGATTCTCTGGTGTCTGGTTTGCTGTGCACATCTCAGGTTGGCCTCAGCCTCCAAGTACTAGGATTACAAGTATGTACCACCACACACAGTTTAAATTCAAAGAAAATGCAGCCTTGGAATACATCCTGGTAGAGAGCAGGGGCATCAAGGTCATCCTCAGCTACAGAGATTGGGGCCAGCCTGTGCTATATTAGACCCTGATTTGGATATCTTTTTTTTCTTTTCAGCCCAGACTTGCCTTAAAATTCCCTATCCTCCTACCTCAGGTTCCATATTTGCTGTGATTGGCTTCCTGACCAAAGCAGTAAATACTTTTTAGCTTATTGGATACTTTTCCTTTTTTTAAAAGACTGGGTCTCACTTTGTAGACCAGGCAGGCCTTAAACTCAGAGATACACCTGCTTCTGCTTCCTGAGTGCTAGGATTAAAGGCATGAGCTACCATCCCCTGTAATCCCATGCTTTTAAACCAAAAGCCCTCCAATGTGTTTAAAGGAAAAAAGTCGGGGTTGGGGATTTAAGTCCGTGGTAGAGTACTTGCCTAGCAAGCACAAGGCCCTGGGTTCGGTCCTCAGCTCGGGGGTGGGGGTGGGGAGTCCCCAATCCCCAACATGAACCCTGTTCCCACTCCTAGAGTGCTGAGTACCATAAAAAACTTGAGAATTGCTTCTAGCATCTCCCATTGGCCCAGACCACATCCATCCCAGCAGACCTCAGGGTGGCTACTAGTTGCCCCTAAAGTTAGGGTCTTATGAAAAAGGAAAGAAAGCCAAAGCGTCATCCCACACAGGTATGTCCTAGGGTTTGGTGAAGAGCTGGGAAAACATTTAGAATAGGGCAGCACCAGTTGATCCTGAGCACGTTCTCCAAAACTGTTTTCCCTCCCAGTGCTGCAAATTGAACCCAGTGCCTCGTATGTGCTCGGTGTCCTAGTTAGCTTTGTCAACTTGACTTAGCCTAGAGTCACCCGAGAGGAAAAGCCTCAGTTGAGGAATTGACTAGCTGAGATTGGTCTGTGGGGAATTATCTTATAAATGGAGGATGGCCTCCTCGCCCACTGTGGGCAGCACATACCTAGGTGGCTGGTCTGGGGCTATATAAGGAAGCTAGCATAATTTCTGCTCTGATTTTCCTACATGATGGATTGTGTCCTGGAAGTATAAGCCATTTCCTCCCCTAGGTTGCTTCTGGTCCAAATGTTTTATCACAGCAACAGAGTGAAACTAGAACACTAAGCAGCCCCTACCACTGAACTATAGCCACAGCCAATATAAAGACTTTGAGCTAATATATCGACTAATATACAAATGAATATATACTGACTGATGCAACACATGTGTCAAGTAATTAAATGTGTTCTAAGACATCACTGGGTGGTACTTTCTTCCCAAATGGCATATTTTTCCTATGCACCCAGGCCAGAGTTCTGACCCAAACGGGAACCTGACTAAGGCTCTGGGAAGACAAAAGGTCATTCTATGTGAGTCTAGCGTTGAACTGGAATTGAGTGGGAGGCTACTTCCTACCCACTTCTTTCCTACCTCTCTACCTAATCCTTCCCCCAGATAATGATTGTCTCTCACGAACAGGAAGGCCACTGTTTAGGATATGTTGGGTGGCCAGCAAACTCTCAGGATCCTCTTGGCTCTGCCCCCAGTGCTGAGATTGACATGCGTGCAGCCATGCTTTTTATGCATATATAGGGAATTCAAACTTGGGTCCTCATGCTTGCAAGAGCAAGCACTCTTCCTCACTTAGCCATGTCCTCTGTCACAGCTCATGCCGTCCTCGTATCCCAGGGCCTGAAGTTACCTCTGAGGTGTGATCTGGAATATTTTCTCTCACTGCTTCCCTTGACAGGGCTTCCACAGAATTCCACTGTAGGCTCTATCATCCTGGGCATTCAAGGATATCAGATGGAGGACTGCTGTCCTACCATGTTCAAGGTCAAAGCCTTGGCCCACAATATCAGGAAGAAAGATTGCATGGAAGTTCCAAAAACATCTCACTCAGCAGAGACTGTGTTTCTCAGCCCCAAGGTGCACTGGTCAGCTGGGAAGCCCCCAGAGGGCCTGTGTTTGTCCTGAGCGAAACAGGAGCTCTTTCCCTATGGTACCATCCCCAAGGACACAAGCCCCAGAGCCTGAGGACTTGACTTAGGAGTAGTTTCCTCTTCCCTGCTCAACCCTGCTGGGGTGATCCCTGTTCCTGTCCAGGGTGACCTAGTCACCTTCACTTGTTCTTATCTGTAGTCACACACCGAGAAAGAGAAGGAAGGAGGCAAGTCAGAGAAGCTGCAACACCTATTCCACGTGTGCTTGGCTGGAAAGGTGTAGGATCTAAGGTCAGGCAATCCTGGGCACAGGAACCCAGTTCTGCCTCTCCCTTTTGTAGGTCACTTAACTGTTACCTGATCCTCTCCTGGTTGCCAAGGGAAAAGGATGGGTTGAGAGAATTTAAGTATTTTCACACCAAGCTCATCTCAGGATGACCACTGAAGAGAGGGAAGAGGTTGCCAGGAGCCTAGATTACTGCTTTGATTTCCAACTAAGGCTCAAGTGGCTTTTAGTTTTTGTTTGTTTGAGGGGGGTTCATATAGTCCAAACTGACCTTGAACTAGATATGTAGCTGAAGATGACTCTGAACTACTGATCCTCCTGTCACCGCAACCCAAGTGCTGGGACTACAGGCCTGTCCTGCCATGCCTAGCTACAATATTAGCCATTCTTTTTCTTTTTGGTGGTGTTGGAAGAGTTTCATGAATGCTAGGCAAGTATTATACTACTGAGCTACACTCCCAGTCCTCCTCCCATCCCATGTATGTGTCTGGGGTGTGTGTGTGTGTGTGTGTGTGTGTGTGTGAGAAAGAGAGAGAGAGAGAGAGAGAGAGAGAGAGAGAGAGAGAGAGAGAGAGTTGCTAGGGACCGAATCTCAGGTGTAATGCTTGCTAGGCAAACACTAGGACTAAGTTTTAGCCACAACCTGTACATAATGAAGATGTCCTTTCAGACAGGAAATACAAGTTTTTGGAATAATACTTAAAGTCCAAACTAGAAAGTAATTTTATCTTGATTTTACATTTGGTCGCAAATTAAAACCGAAAGTATTCTGTGGAGACAAGCAAGGGTGTCCTTTGGAGGATGTTCATCCTAGCAGGCAGGCAGGCAGGCAGGTAGGCAGGCAGGCAGGCAATTGTATGTTCTCTGGGTTTGGTCCCAGCTTGCAGCAGAGTGAGTGGCTGGAGCTCTGAGCACGTGGTTTAGCAGCTTCCTTAGGACATATTAGAGTTGCTGGTCTTCAAGCTATTGAGGAGACTATTTTCTGTGTGACTGTTGGATGCCCACCATGGTTTTCATATAACTGTGCTGGAAGAAAAGAATAAAGAAAGGGGAACTTGATCAGGAAGTATGGTCTTAGCAAGGACTCACAAGCTATGCCAGTCACATTCAATTCATCATTTCTTCCTGCAAACATCACAGTCTAGAGACAAAAACTCTCTGGATGCACAGCAAATTCTATTAGAAATAACATTGCATTCAAACACTTTCTTCTTTCAATCTATGGAAAGTGTGTAAAGCTGTTTTGAAATAGCCTGGCGGTTATGTTTAAAAGGAGACATGCGCCGGGCGGTGGTGGCGCACGCCTTTAATCCCAGCACTCGGGAGGCAGAGCCAGGCAGATCTCTGTGAGTTCGAGGCCAGCCTGGACTACCAAGTGAGTTCCAGGAAAGGCGCAAAGCTACACAGAGAAACCCTGTCTCGAAAAACCAAAAAAAAAAAAAAAAAGGAGACATGCACTGGGCATAGTGATGCATACCTTTAAATCTCAGCACTTAGGAGGCAGAGGCAGGTGGATCTCTGTGAGCTCTGGTCTACATAGTGAGTTCCAGGACAGCAGAGCTACATAGTAAGACCCTGTCTTGAAAAAGAAAAAAGAAAAAGGCATGCATGTTTCAATGGCCTATTTAAAATCTGACAGAGGCCAGGTGGTAGTGGCACACACCTTTAATCCCAGCATGCGGCAGGCAGAGACGGGCAGATCTCTGTGAGTTTGAGACCAGCTTGGGCTACAGAGTGAGTTCCAGGAAAGGCGCCAAAACTACACAGAGAAACCCTGTCTGGAAAAAAATAATCTGACAGGGAATGGACTCAAAAAGGAAAAGATCTTATAGTTTGGATATTAAAGTATCCCTCAACAGTGTCCTGTATTTGAAAGCTTAGTTGTAGTAGAATATTATTTTAAGGTGTGTTACTTTTGTTTATGTTGCATTTGTTTAACTATGTGATGCTGTGTACTGTACCTGAGTAAAATACCTGATGGTCTAATAAAGAACTGGCCAATAGCAAGGCAGGAGAAAGGATGGGGAGGCTGGCAAGCAGAGAGAATAAATAAAAGGAGAAATCTAGCAGCCAGAAAAGGAGGAGGACTCTAGTGGCCAGCCATCCAGCTACACAGCAAGCCACGGAGTAAGAGTAAGATTTACAGAAGTAAGGGAAAAGCCCAGAGGGAAAAGGTAGATGGGATAATTTAAGTTAAGGAAAGCTGGCTACAAACTAAGCCAAGCTAAGGCCGGGCATTTATAAGTAACAATAAGCCTCCATCTGTGTGTGAATTTACTTGGGAGTTGGGTGGCTGGCCCCTAAAAAAGTAAAAAACAACACTTAATCTCCACTGGTAGATCCAATCATTGAGTCATTGAGAGGTCATTGTGAGGGCTCTGACCTGATAAATGGATCTATCCACCAATGGCTTCATAACCTGATAAAATTATTGGAAGGCTGTGGGACACAAGAGTTGGGGCCTGGTTGGAGGGTGTAGGTCAATGGGGGTGTGCCCTGAAAGGTAGAGCATGTCCCTGGTCTAGTCCTGTTCTGCTTGAGCACCTTGAGACAAGCAGCTCTCCACATGCTCTTCTGATGCCATCTTGTTCTGATTTACCACAAGCCCATAACAACGGAACCAAGCATGATCAGAAACTGAGGCAAAATAAACCTTTCTTCTTTGTTTCTGTTTTTGTTTGTTTCTAGACAGACTCAAAACCCAGGCTTGCCTTGAACCACCCTTGCAAATAAGGGTGACTTGGAACTCCTGATGCTCAAGAGGCCTTTGTCACCAGCTTTGCTTAATCCTTCCTGCTCTGAAGCTCGCTCTCTCAGGTATTTGTCACAGCAACAGGAACCTAACACTGGAGACCTCTTTAGATCTGGGCCCATTACTGCTGCAGGCCCGCCCTCTGGGTTTTTTTGTTTTGTTTTGTTTTGTTTTTCAGACAGGGTTTCTCTGTGAAGCAGTCTTGCTGTCCTGGAACCCACTCTGTAGACCAGGCTGGCCTCAAACAGAGATCCACCCACCTCAGTCTCCCAAGTGCTGGGATTAAAGGCGTGCACCACCACCACCGCCCAGCTACCTTTCTTTTTTAATTTAAATTCCGTCCTTTTACTACACTGTTAGGCTCCTTGAGAGCAGGTAGAAAAGGCTGTTGTCAAAGCAGGGGGCAGGAAGGAAGCAAATGTTAAAGCTAGCTTGGAATATGGAAAAGGACTGGAGCCCCAAGGTACGAGACTGAACCTGCAATGGCAGCACTAAGCTGGAATTCTTTTTCTTTCTTGACATAGGGTCTCAATATAGCTCAATATGGCCTTGAACTCAAGATACTCCCACATCAGCTCCCAAAATGCTGAGGTTACAGGATTTGACATAATCCCTGGACTTTTTCCTCTCTGTGGTCCTTGGTATTGAACCCAGGGCCTTACACAGGCTAGGCGGATGCTCTGTTTCTGAGCTACATCTCTAGCATTCAAGCTGGAATTCTTGAAGGGATAAATGGCCCTAGGTTGATAATACTCTATGGTAACTACAAAAAGCAAATGCAGACAGTGTAGTGATGAAAGCCTAAAATCCCAACATTTAGGAGACAGCAGGGGTTCAAGGCCACCCTCTGCTGCATAAATAGTTCAAGGCAGGCCTGAACTGCATGAAACCTTGTTTCAAAGAAAAAAAACAAAACAAAAAAAACTCCGTGATGGCTCATGCCATTAATCCCAGCACTTGGGAGGCAGAGGCAGGTGGATCTCTGAGTTCAAGGCCAGCCTGAACTACAGATAGACTTCTAGGGTTACACAGACCTTGTCTCAAAAAAAAAAAAAAAAAAAAAAATCCAGCAGGATATGATGCTGAATCTCTGCAATCTCAGCACAGGGGAGGTTGAGGCAGGAGTATTAGGAGTTCAAGGTCAAGTTCAAGGTCATCCTCAGCTTCATAGTGAATTTGAAGCCAGCCTAAGCTAAATGAGATGGTGTCTTTTTTTTTTTTTTTTTTTTTTAAAGACAGGGTCTCACTATATAGCTTTTGCCTGGAACTCATTGTGTAGACCATACTGCTGACCTCAAACTCTAGAGATTCTCCTGCCTCTGTCTCCTAAGGAGAGGAGACCCTGTCTTAAGAATCAAAACAGCCGGGGGTGGGGGGGGGTGGGGTGGGGGGGGGGGTGGTGGTGGTGGTGGTGGTGGTGGTGCATGCCTTTAATCCCAGAACTCCAGAGGCAGAGCCAGGCGGATCTCTGTGAGTTCGAGGCCAGCCTGGTCTACAGAGCGAGATCCAGGACAGGCACCAAAACTACACAGAGAAACCCTGTCTTGAAAAAAAACAAAAACAAAAACAAAAAAAAGGAATCAAAACAACAACCTTTACCCACCCATCCTCACAAACCAAAAAACAAGTATATACCCTTGCAGGAAGAAAATAATTTCAATTTATGTGTTTTGCAGTCCTTAAGTCTAATCAAATATGAGCTTGTAACTTAAAATATATATTTTGGACTAGAGAGATAGCTCAGTGGTTAAGGGCACTGGCTGCTCTTACCAAAGGCCTGGGTTATATCTCAACTATCTCCAGTTCTGGGGAGTCCTATCCTACACCCTCTTCTGGCCTCTGCAGGCACCAAACATCCAAATGGTACACAGACATACATACCAGCCAAACACCCATACACAAAATATATTTTTAAATGCAAGTATGCAAACACACATATACACACTAGATAGTCTCACAGTGAAGGAGAGTAAGAAAAATAGGAAACAGTGCTGAGTACGGTGGCACACACCTGTAATCTCATCTCTTAGAAAGTCCATGTAAGAGGATCAGGAGTTCAAGGTTATCCCTGGCTACTTAGCAAGTTTGAGACCAGCCTGGGAAACATGACTGCCTGTCTCAAACAAACCAAACAAATAACAAAACCACCTGAGCACAATGGGATGCACAGATTCAGGACCTTGGTAGATGGAGACTCTGGAGAGTCACAGGCTCTACCTGTGGCTTACCATGTCTAGTTTCTCCTTGGCTACATATGGTCATCTGTCCTCTGCCATTTATGCAGGATGGCCCCCTTGGACAGGCCCTTTTCCACAGACAGTGGTCTCAGAGGATTTCTTTCCTAGACTGTCATGGGCTGTGAGCCACCGTACATGGCTAAGTTAGCGTTTACCAGCCATGTCCAGACCTGGCCATGATCTATGTGATTCTCCTTCTCTGACTTCCAAAGTCAAGCCTTGTTTCAGTCTAGAGCCAGCAGAAGACGCTTATAGACTAAGAGTGACACTCAATCTTCCTGGGTTGGTACCATCACCCCACCCACCCCGTTGGGTTGGTGATTCTGGGTGTCCTAGTAATAAAGTCTTTGGGGCCCCCAGCCTCACACACATGAATGTCCCAAGTTACCTTTTGTTCTGTCTTGACTTTGGCATTGTAGAAGGAGATGGAATCAGGACCCTCAGGCAGTACAGTCTGCTGCAGCTGGCTGAACCTGTCCTGGTCATCTTCTCCCTGGGAAAGGCCCAACCCAGCACAATATCTCAGCCTGGCATCACCAGGATGAACCCTGGCAAGGCCTCTGCTGAGCAACAGAACAGTCCCTTGCTGGGTTTGCAAACCCACTGAGAGCATCTGTAGCACACATGCCTGTCAGGGTCCTCACAGATCCCTCTGTAAAGGCCACCTAGGCACTGCGAAAGTTGGCAGTAATAAAAGGTATTCCTTTGTCATCTCTCTCTTTGTGGTGGTTTGAAAGAAAATGGCCCCCAAAGGGAACGACACTATTAGGAGGTGTGGTCTTGTTGGAGTAGATGTGTCCTTGGATGGAGGAAGTGTGTCACTGTGAGGGTGGGTGCCTCTTAGGCTCAAGCTACAGGGAGTGAGACAGTTCACTTCCTGTTGTCTGCAGATTGAACTGTAGAACTCTCAGCTCCTTCTCTAGCACCACGTCTGCCTGTATGCCACCATATCCTGCCACGAGGATAATGGACTAAACCTCTGAAACTATAAGCAGCCCAATTAGCTGTTTTTCTTTATAAAGTTGCCATGGTCATAATGTCTCTTCACAGCAATAGAAACCCCAACTAAAACTCTGTCTCTCAAGATTTATTTATATATGTATATGGGTGCTTTCCTCTGCATGTACATCTATGCATACCAGAAGGAAGAACTGGAATTCATGGGACTATAGTTACAGATGGTTGTGAGCCACCATGTAAATTGAACTCAGGACCTCAAGAAGAACAGCCAGTGCTCTGAACCACAGAGCCATCTCTCCAGCTCCTACATATCTCTCTTTAAAATTTGTGCTGGTTGGTTTTTGTCTACTTGACACAAACCTAGACATGTCTGGGAAGAAAGACTCTCACTTAAGGGATTTCTTCTATAGGCTGGCCTTTTTTTCCCCTCTGGGCATTTTTTTTTCTTATTAACAATTGATGTAGGAGGGACTAACCCATTGGAGGCAATGCCACCCCTGGGAAGGTGGTCCTGGGTTTAAAAGAAAGCAGACTGAGGAGCTAGGGAGATGGCTCAGTGGTTAGGGCATTGGCTGCTCTTCCAGAGGACCCAGATTCAACTCTCATCATTTACAACTGTATAAACTCCAATTCCATGGGAACTAGTACTTTCTTCTGAACTCTGAGCACCAGGCTCACAGGTAGTGCACATATATACATGCAGGCAAAACACTCATACACATACATTTTTTTTAAAGGGCAAAAGGGGGTGGGGAGAAAGGCTGAGCAAGCCATGGGGAGCAAGCTGTTATACACCATTCCTCCATGGTCTCTGCACATAGTTTCTGCTTCAGTTCCTATCTTCAGTTCCTGCCCTGACTTCCCTTCATGATGTAGCTTACACCTACAACTGTGAGCTGAAATAAACCTCTCCTTCCCTCAAAGTTGCTTTGGAAACCAAAGATAGGATTTTTTTAATTTATGTGTTTTTGTCTGTGCTACTATATGCCACATGTGTGCTATTGCCTGCAAAGGCCACGAGAGGGCATTGGAACTGGAGCTGCAGTTACAGATAGTTGTGAGCTGCCTGATGTGGGAGCTGAGAACCAAACTCAGGTCCTCCAGAAGAGTAGCAAGTCATCTTAATTGCTGAGCCATCTCTCTAGCTCTGTTTTTCACTTTTCAATAATTGAGGAACTTACACTTGCCTCCCTACCTGGGCACTGGCAGCATTAGACATCAATCCATGGAAGAGGAAGAATTACCCACATTACTGCTACTGTCCCTGTGATCAACTCTCACCACCCTCTCACCCTTGGGCTGCTCACCAGGGACACAATCCTGTTGACAGGCACCATGCCTGGCCGGATACTGCTGCCCAGCTTCAGTGCTACCTGAACATCCTCTGGGATAACGAAGGACTCATTGTACCAGATGTCAAATTCTGCAAGAGTCAGAGAGATAGCACTGTGAGGTATGAGGGAGCCTGTGCGGAAGCAGGCAAGGGCTAGTGCAGGCTCATCTCATCTCTACTTACTTCCTGCTCCAGCAGCTCCCCTCTTCTCACCTCCCATCTCCAGCCTTCACAGCCCTGGAAACCCCACTTCTGAAGCCCCTGACAAAGCCCTGGCTCTGCAGTGAGCTGGTCAGAGAGCACTTCCAGAACTGGTCCTTGGCCTTGCCCTGAGGCCTCTCTCGACCTCAAGGAGCCTGCCAACCTTCCCAGGTGGAATACCCATGAGCAGGCGATGGCGACACTGATCCACCAGGCGTTGGCAGTACTGGATCTCAGCTCTGAGGTCTCTCAGTTCTTGGTACTCATTTCGGTATTGCTTCTTCAGGTCTTTAAGCTTCAGAATCAGTAGGAATTCCTCCTCATCGATGATCATCAGGCCTTTGTTCTCATACTCACCTGTAGGGTGATGGGCGAGGTCAGGGAATGAGGCAGTAGTCATTCTGGGTAGGGGAAGGATGGTGTTCCAAAAAGAAGACAATGCTAAGCCAGGCAGTGGTGGCGTACGCCTTTAATCCCAGCACTCAGGAGGCAGAGGCAGGCAGATCTCTGTGAGTTGGAGGCAAGCCTGGTCTACAGATCGAGATCCAGGACAGCCAGGGCTGTTGTTACACAGAGAAACCCTGTCTCGAAAAAACAAACAAACAAACAAAAAACCCAACTCTTTCTTCCAGAGATGGGCACATGCCTATAATTATAGCTGAGGCAGACAAGCCTTCAAAGTTACCTGTCTCAAAAAAAAAAAAAAAAGATCCTTATTTCACCATGATCTTACTCTGTGGAGATGTCCACTTTCACTGAGTTTAGAGATATAGACCAACCATCCTAGTTCAGTGGAAGGCTGAGGTGGGGGGGATCTCAAGTTCAAGGCCTATGATAAGACCTTGTCACAAAAGGCTGTAGAGATGGCTCAGTGGTTAAGTGTGCTTACTGTTCTTGCAAAGGACCCAATTGTGTTTCCCAGCACCCACACCAGATGGCTCAAAACTGCCTGTAATTCCAGTTCCAGGGAAAATAACACCCCTTGGCTCTGCAGGCACCTGCACTCATGACACCTACACACAGACACACACACACATTTTTCAAAAAATATAAAGGGTAAATCTCATGTCACAGTGCATGAATCCCTTTAAATATGTAAATTTATCATCAGGGTCTGTAATTTTGTTTTGTTTTGAGACAGGGTTTCACTGTGCAGCCCTGCCTGTCCTAGAACTCACTCTATAGATCAAGCTGACCTTGAACTCACAGAGATCTACCTGCCACTGCCTCCTGAGTGCTGGGATTAAAGGCGTGTGCACCGCTGCCTGGCAGGGTCTGTATTTTTTTTTTTTTTTGGTTTTTCGAGACAGGGTTTCTCTGTGTAGCTTTGCGCCTTTTCCTGGAACTCACTCGGTAGCCCAGGCTGGCCTCGAACTCACAGAGATCCGCCTGGCTCTGCCTCCCGAGTGCTGGGATTAAAGGCGTGCGCCACCACCGCCCGGCCAGGGTCTGTATTTTTAAAGAACGTGTAGGCACAGGCCAAACAAGTGTTTGCGGGTCCTGTGAGGTCTTCCGCTGTCCCCTCCCTGGGGTTTCTGGGCAGGAGTGTGTCTGGAGCTGCCACCTCTGCTTCCTTAGTTTCCACTTTGCCCTCTACAATAGCAGGTCATAGTTGGTCTGAAGGGTATGAGCAGAATAGGTCCAGGAATCTGGAAATAAAGTTACCTCTGAGAGTGAAATGACCCAACGGACCTGCAGGGAAAAACCAAGTGACATCTGGAAGTCACCCATGAAAGCTGGCCTGGAACAGGATTCTGATTTATTGAGGAGAGGCCCTGTGATATGCCCTGACTGCCAGGAAAGTGAATAACAATGTGGTTGCCAGACTCCCTTTATTTTTCATTTTTTATTTTATTTTATTTTATTTATTAAAACTAACTTTTAAGGGGCTGGGGAGATAGCTCAGTGGTTAAGAGCACTGGCTGCTCTTCCAGAGGACCCAGGTTCAATTCCCATCACCCACATGGCAGCTCGCAACTGTCTATAACTCCAGTTCCAGGAGATCTGACACCCTCACACAAATGCACATAAAATAAATTTAAATAAATTATTTTTAAAAAAATAACTTTTAAGTTAAAAAATTACATTGTGTGTCTGTCTGTGTGTCTGTGTGCACCACAGTGCACAGATGGGGGTCAGAGGACAACTTGCAGGAGTCAGTTCTCTCCATTTACTATGTGAGTTCCAGGGATCACACTCAGGTTGTCAGTATTGATGGTTACTAATCTTACCTAAAGAGCCATTTCTTTTTCTTTTTAATTTTTTTTATTCATGTATATGTATCTGTCTGCATGTGAATGCCACATGTCAGATCCCTGAGCTGGAATCACAGGCAATTGTGAGCTGCCTGGTGTGCAGGCTGGGAACAGAGCTGTATCCTCTGGGAGACCAGCAAGAGCTCCTAACCACGAGCCATCTCCCCAGGCCCCAATGAGCCATTTCAACAGCTTTTAAAATTTAATTTAATTTTTTAGCCAGGGGCTCATTATACAGCTCTGGCTGGCCTGAACTTCTGGTGATACTCCTGCTTCTCACAACAATGCATCCCCATGCCTAACTGAACCCCCTTTTCAGAGTCAGGGTGGTCACTTATTAAAATGCAGGCTGACTCTGCCCTTGACTGGCTGTCACAATCAGTCCTCTGCACACTCACACTGGACTGTTCCTGGCCCACAATATAGGTGTCCACTATGTGTAACACTGTGAGCACTGTCCCCATGCAGGATTCTTGCTCACTCCCTGCCCTAGAGAACAAGCCTGCCAGGCTAGCACAGGTGTCAGGAGTTGAGTAGAAGGAATGGTTTCACTGATATCAGGCCACTTGGCCTTCTGGCACCCTCATTCTCATTTCTTGAGGTCCCCAGCAGTACCCCTACCACAACCAAACCACCATCGGCAAAAGGAGAGCAGACCAGGACTAAGTGACCATGAACGGGTCACCAACTACCCACCTCCTGAGGAGATTTCTTCAGGACTGTAAAAATACAAAAGCATAATGGTCCATATTCAAAGGTGCCTTCAATCAGCTTAGGTCCAGCTGTGGATGAAAAGGTGACCCTGGGCCCCTGCCAACACCTGCGGCTAGTCTAGAGTAAGTAATTATTAGCTGCCAAAATTGTCCAATGACCTACAGACATGATGGGTTTACACTCCCAAAAAAGCTTTACAATAAACAGAAGGTAAAATGTAAATATAAATCCATGCATGTCTTTGTTAAGAAATTAAGAGACATAAGTGGCTGATGATGTGTAGTACCCTCCAGGACTGAGCTCAGGTGAGCACTATGAGTTCAAGGCCAGAGAGTTCCAGGACATCCAGAGCTACATACAGAGACCCTGTCTCAAAACAAAACAAAACCAACCAACCAACAACAACAACAAAAAAAATGTACCCTTCTGATTACTCAGCCAGTAAGGAAAGTGGGGAGGGACCTGTATTCAGGGCTATTAAAAACTTTGTGCGGGAGGCAGACAGGTAGAAGCCTGGTCTACAGAGTGAGTTACAGGACAGCTAGGGCTACATAGAGAGAAACCCTGTCTCTAAAAAGAAAAACCCAACTTTCTTTGCACCCCTGTAGTACACCCTGCCATTTTTATTTCTGTCAATGGTACCCATCTTTACAAGGTTATAAAATGAATTGTCTTGCTTTCTCTACTGTGCCTCCGGTGTTCATTAGGAGTGTGTGGGGCTTTGTTCCTGCAGGGCCAAGGGCCAGTTTCTCCATGAGCAACAGCACATGTCAGGGGGAAGACTCAGCTGTTAGCTCTGAAATAATGCAGTAAGCAGATACACTGACAAAGGTAGCTGGCAGGAAGGGCTGCCTAGAGCCTACTAGATGACATAGGTCTGTACCCTAAAGCTCTCTATGGGCCCCTCCCATCTTGGTCCTTCAGTGTCCAAGGCTGCCACACTTAACAACTTGGTAACTCTGAGCCCCACATCGCCCCGGCCATCTTCCCTTCACATCTACCTTGCTTCTCCCGTAGTGACTTCTGGAAATTCAGTGAGTCTTTGGTCACATCGATCTCCCGCTTGATGGCATTGATGCGCTGGGTGGTCTCGCTGGCCCTTTTCCTTCGTTCATTCAAGATGGATTTGTTTTCTTTGAAGATGCGGTTGATCTCACTACCTCGTTCATTCTTAAACTCTTCAAAGGCCACAGGCTTCGAGGGTGGGGTGCTGGGTCTGGCAACAGAGGGAGAGGTCAAAGAGGAAAAAGAACGGAACTGCTGTCTTGGAGACACAAGGTACTTCATCTTTCTTCCCTGTGACTTCCCAGGGCAGAGGGTAGAGATCCTAGGCATTGTTTATGTCAGATGGAAGTTAGTCTGTAGGAATCAATGCCCCATCTTTGTTCCAAGGACCCATGCCCACTGCAGAAATTGAGGAAAGGAAAGAAACTGAAAACAAAATCACTGTCACCTATCTGGATCCAGAGTCTGTTGAATCTCTTGAGATTTCTTTGATAGATTTTTAAATGGCTGAAGCCACACAAAATATATGATCTTTTCTTTTTCTCACAGAGGCATTATTTCAGGGTATTAAATTTTCTCTGAGAGGACCTCAGGGTCTGGCTAAGAGGACTTATTCTGTAAGTATGAGTACCTGAGTTCATATCGCCATGTTATAGAGCAATTCCCTCCAGGAGGAAGAAAGCAAGCTGTCTTTGTTACTGTTCTATTGCTGTGAAGAGACACCACGACCACAGCAACTCTTATAAAGGAAATTGGGGGCTTGCTTATAGTTTCAGAGGCTTCATCCATTATCATCATGGCAGGGGAAGCATGGTCGCAGACACAGCAGCATGGTGCTGGAGAAACAGCTGAGAGCCACATCCTGATCTGCAGGCAGAGTGAGACTCTGGGCCCAGCATGGGCTTTTGAAACTTCAAAGCCCAGGGCTGGAGAGATGGTTCAGCGGTTAAGAGCACTGGGTTCAATTCCCAACATGGCAGTTCACAACTGTCTATAACTCCAGTTCCAGGGGATCTGGCATCCTCATACAGACATACATGCAGGCAAAACACCAATGCACATAAAATAAAAATAAATAAATTTAAAAACAAAACAGCTAGACAGTGGTGGCACATGCCTTTAATCCCAGCACTCAGGAGGCAGAGGCAGGCGGATCTCACTGGGTTCCAGACCAGCCTGGTTTACAAAGTGAGTTCGAGGACAGCTGTAACATAGAGAAACCCTGTCTCCAAAAACAAAAACAAAACAAACAAAAAAAGTCAAACAAAAAAAGCCAGGCTGTGGTGGCACATGCCTTTCATCCCAGTACTTGGGAGGCAGAGGCATGAGAATCTCTGAGTTCAAGGCCAGCCTGGTCTACAGAGTGAGTTCCAGGACAGCCAGGGCTATACAGAGAAACCCTGTCTTTAAAAACCAAACAATAGGGGCTGGAGAGATGGCTCAGAGGTTAAGAGCACTGGCTGTTCTTCCAGAGGTCATGAGTTCAATTCCCAGCAACCACATGGTGGCTCACAACCATCCATAATGAGATCTGGCGCCCTCTTCTGACCTGCAGGTGTATATGCAGACAGAACACTGTATACATAATAAATAAATCTTTAAAAAAAAAAAACCCAACAATAAATAAATAAAATAAAGAAACCTCAAAGTTCATGCCTAGTGGCAAACTTCTTCCAACAAAGTTCTCCTAATCCTTCTAATCCTATCAAAGAGTTTCACTCCCTGGTGACCCCTGGTGACTAAGCATTCAAACATAGGAGCCTATGAGGGCCATTCTTAGTCAAACCAGCACAGAAGCCCATGAGACTCAGAAAGTAAACAACTCATAACTCTCAGGAAGTTCCTGAAACTAACATGATTTACCAGACCCCCTTTCCCAAGGTTATAGAAACAGTAAACTGCTAGTGGGAGGGGGTGTCCTCTGACTTGTCCAGCTGCCTACAAGTCACACAGAGTTCCAGGGGTATAGCTTTTATGAGTCATCACCAAGGCTGGGGTAGACTTTTTGGTGATGCAGATGCCTTTAAGTCACCCATGCTCTGATAAGAAACCCCAACAGAGTCCCTGGTTCGCTAACTTGGACTTTGGAGGCACTGTTAGTTTGTTCTGTCACTGGTTCATGTCTCCTGAGGAAAAGTCACATACAATAATGCAGAACCCACATAAGAAGTCAAGCATCATGTCTATACCTCCAGCACTAGGGGCAAAAACAGACAGATCTGCAAGGGTGCCGATCAGCCAGTTTAGCTGAAACAGCAAGCTTCCAGTTTAGTGAGAGACTATGTCTTGAGGTTTATGACAAAGAGTAAGAGGGAAAGACACTAGATGTGCTGCTCAGGACGGGGGTGTACGCCCACACACTCATGTGCACGCACCATACATACCCCCATGCACGAAATTCTCTGAGAACCACAGTTAACGTGATACAACTGTTGGCACGGAAGGATGTGGACTGATATTGGCAAGTTATTTGAACTGCATTTTTAAAAAGACAACACAAGATGGAAACAAATATAATAGCCGACAACAGAAACTAGAGGGCTCTCAGTGTATGGGCATTCACTGTGCAACTCTTGAACTTCTCTGAATGTTCTGAAATGTACATAGGCTCAGAAGAGGGTCTTCATGCACGTGCTTGTACAAACCAGAGGCAGGGATAATAATTCATTCAATGCCCTTTATCTAATACCAACTATTGAAAGTGTTTACTTAAAAAAAAAAAAAACTTTTCCCATTCATGATGTGGTGAACATGTTTTTTTCATGTCCCCCCTTCTATTTCCTCAGCCTGGATCCTAAAATTTGACCCCACTCCCCTGTCGTCCACCAGTGAATAGGGATATGGACAAGAGATCAGAAAACAGCAGGTGTCGCCCAGGCCTTCCACACTGCTTGAGACAGTGTCTCTTCGTTCTTTTTCTACAGCAAATGCCACGCTAGCTGTCCTGAGAGCTTCCCCGTTTCTGCCTCCATCTCACTGTAGAGATGAGGACTAACAGGTACTGCTGCTAGACACCCGGCTTTGCATGGGTTCTGGGGACCCCAGGTCATCACAGTTGCATGGCAAGCACCTTTACCCACCGATCCCCAGCTCCAGTGGTTCACTTTCAAAGCCAAGGTCATATGTATCCCAGGTCTCTAACTCTTTGTAGCCAAGGGTCACCTTAAATTCCTAATCCTCCTGCCTCTGCCTCCCAAGTGCTAGGATTACAGATATACGCTCCCATGCTGGGCTTCTAGAATGTATTACTTATGTAAAAGACATATCATTTTAAAATAATTGATGTGTGGAAGTTCTAAAATGATGTTTGTGTGTGCACACACACGCACCACACACACGCACACACGCACGCACGCACGCACACACATGCACACCATAGCATGTGTGTAGAGGTCAGAGGACAACTGACAACGGGGAATTGGTTCTCTCACGTGTGTCCTGGGGATTGAACTCAGGTTGTCAGAATTGGTAGCAAGTGCCTTTACTGGCTGAGCTATTTTCCCAGCCCCTAAAATGATTCTTCCTTGTGTATCTTGGAAGACTGAGGCTGGATCATTTTGCATGCATATATGTTACCACATTTCTTCCTTTGGGACTTTCTCTGTTTCCCCTGTTTATTTCTCTTCTGCTGCAGGCACCATTTACCTAACATGTGGGGCTCACACTCTGGTTTGGTGTGCTCTGATCTGGTGGAAGATCTCCCTGTCTTTAGATGGTTACCTGAGCGGGCGTGAGTCTTCCTTTGAAGAGTCCGAGGGAAGGGGCTCAATGCTGGACGTTTCCCTGTCTCGTGAAAGCATGTCTTTGACATCCCCATCTCTGGAAGATGGGATCAGCTGAGTCTTGGAGATGGAAACCACATCCAAGTCCTTGCCACTCACAGGGCTGCTGGCACCCTCCTTTCTTGCTGAGGAGCTGAAAAAAAGTCAGGGAAACACCAAGGCCCAGACATTGGCAAAGACCCTGAGACGGGACCCTGCTGAAGCCCTACTAAACCAAGCAACCCGCCACATTTAGCTTGCTTGCTTATTTTATTTATGTATCATTTACATATTTGTTTATTTGAGACAAGGTCTTACTATGTAGCTCTGGCTGGCCTAGAACTCACAGGCTTCTGCCTGCCTCTGCCTCCTAAGCGCTGGAATTAAGGAGTGCACCACTATACCTGGCAGCTGGCAGCTCCCATCTCTTTAAAAAACATTTGTGTACGTATGTGGGCACGTGAATGAGAGCAGTGCCCTGTGAGGTCAGAGATGTCAACTGTCCCTGCAGATGGAGTTACTGGCCCCTGTGAGCCATCGGACATGGGTTGGGTACTGAGCTCAGGTCCTCCCAAGTATCAAAGCCAGGGCTTTGTGCCTGCCAGGCAAGCACCTACCAGAAGAGCTACATCCCCATGGCTCTTCCTCATTCCTTCCTTCTGTCTTTTCTTCCTTTGTCTGTTCCCCCTTCTTTCTGTTTCCCTCGCCCTTTCCTTCCTTTTCTGCAGAGAAGGGAGGGTGGTTGTACCATGTACCCCGTGAGGCCTCAAATTCACAAGCTTTTTTTTTTTTTTTTACTTTATTATTACCATGTGTGAGGGAGTCCATGACTTGGAGAAGATGTCAGAGGATAACTTTGTGTAATTTGTTCTTCTACATCTATGTGAGTTCCACAGATGGAACTTGGGTCCTCAGGCTTATAAGCACCTTTATCTGTGGAGCCATCTCAACGGCCCTGAATCCACAATTTTATGGCCTCTGCCTCCTAGGTGCTGGGGTTACAGGCATGGCTAACACATTCAGCCCCCTTTCTTCTCAGGTGTTGCTGAGAGGACCAGCCTCCATGTGAAGTTATGTGCAAAGACTGCAGATCATTAGCTCTGATGCTATCGTTATTAATATCATTATTCCCATTTTAGGGATACAAAAATAGGTACAGATCAGTTCACCTGCCTCACACAAGGAAGTCTCTTAAGGGTAAGAAACACAGAAAAAGGAGATGAGCCCAGTTCTCAACTCTAAAACCTGTACTCTGCTACTGCTACCCAGAGTGACCTGGGCAGCAGACTAGGGAAAATGCTTTCCCCTACTTGCACTTAAAAAATGAGTCTTCACTCGGGAGGCAGAGCCAGGCGGATCTCTGTGAGTTCGAGGCCAGCCTGGACTACCAAGTGAGTTCCAGGAAAGGCGCAAAGCTACACAGAGAAACCCTGTCTCGAAAAACCAAAAAAAAAAAAAAGAGTCTTAGCTGGGTGGGATGAGACATATCTGTAATGTAAGCTTTTGGGGACATGAGGCAGGAGGATCATCATGAGTCTGGGAGCAGCCATCCTTGGCTACACTGTGAGACACTTTCTCCCCCCACCCCCCAAGCACAATAATAAACTGAGTCTCACCTAAAAGATGAGTTGAGGATTTAGATGGCTTGGGGGAATCTCAAGAGGGATACCTGTGGGAAGTATCACACAAGTACCAGCGGGCATAGTGGTGCCCTGGTACTGGCAGGGCTCTTCCCTGAAACCCTACTACTCAACAGCTGACATAACAATGGGAAGTTACTCAGTGAAATGGCAACATTGGTTCCTCTGGGGGTGCTATGAGAAAGAGTGGGAACACTCAGGGTATGGCCCTGATCTGAACCCCACAGATTTCCCAGCATTGGCAGTAGTGAGCATTAGCAGTTAAGATGCCATGAGATGTTCTGTTAATCTGTAAAAAGTTACTTAGATATATTTTATGTGAATTATCAGAGTGACTTTGTTTTTAATCATGTAAGGGAGATGTAAAACATGATTTTACCTGTATTCATCATAATCATTTACTTGAAAAATAGAATGTAATCTCGTTATGATCCCTGTATTTCCCAAAAGATGTTATTGGGGTATATAAAGTGTATATATATAGAGAGAGAATGAAAGAAAAACTGAGCAGAATAAAGAAGGAAACTACCAAAAAAAAAAAAAAAAGATGCCATGGGAGAGGGAGAGGCCATGTTGTGCCCTCTCTCCAACAAGGAGCCTAGGTGCTAGGCTAGGTTCTTTGCTAGGAGGCAAAACAGATCTCTCACCTGAACTGATCTTTCAGTGTCTTCTTGGACCTGAGTTTCTTTCCAGGTTTGATAGAAAAAGGAGCAACCCCAAGTCCAAAGCTTTGTCCATCAGGTTCACCTACTAGGTGACCTTCAGCATCCATAAGCCCTGCCTGGATAGAGAGGTCAGGACAAGGGGCATGGGTTATATTAGAGGTTTGAGCCTCTCAGGAATGCAAGTGCTCATGGCCCAAAACTTTGGGTGAGCATGTTCTCCACACACACTCAGATTTGGCTGCTGCTGCCAGCTTCAGGCTATCCTTGAACTCTAGAAAATTAATGTCTACTTTCCTTTGTTGTTGTTGTTTTGTTTTTTTGAGACAGGGTTTTTCTGTGTTGTAGCTCTGGCTGTCTTGGAACTTGCTCTGTAGACCAGATCTGTAGATCAGATCTCAAACTCAAAGAAATCTGCCTGCTTCTGCCTCCTGAGTAAAGGTGTGTGCCACCACCACCCAATACTCTCTAAAGATCTTAAGACTTAGTTCCAACCTAGTTCCAAGCATTGGTCATATATATTATTAGCCATATGTCTAATTTATGGACATCATTCTCAATGCAAAAGTGGTATACTGTTGTTTTTTTTTTTTCTTCCTGTGTATGTTTGTATGTGGGTGTGGAAACCAGAGGTCAACCTTGAGTGTTATTCCTCAGGAACAGTTTACTGCTGTGTCTCTCATTGGCCTGGAACTCACAAACTATGCCAGGCCGGCTGGCCAGCAAGCCCCAGGGATCTGTCTGTCTACACCTTTCCAGAGCTTGCACTACAAGGATGCACCACCATACCCAGCTTTAAATGGGTTCTGGGAATTGAACTGAAGGCCTCATGTTTGTGCAACAACCACTTTACTGACTGAGCTTTCTCTCCAGCTCCTAAAGCGGTTTACTTTTGTACAGGGCACTCCATGTTCATTCATCCTGGTGTTATCTTGATCTAAGAACTCTTAGCTCAGGTTTGATGCATGACACTTGCAGTTTCTGTAAAAGTTGACCAAAGATAGAAAGTCTGAGGTGAGTGCTGTTAGCAAGAGGCAACCGTGCTTACCTTCTGGACAGCAGAAATAGTTGCAAAGTCATTCTTGTCTATGAGAGTGTACTTCCTGCGCAAGGCAGACTCCACTTCCTGTTCCTGTTGGCTTGGGAGAGAGAGTGAGATAACACTTGTAATGGGGGCCATGCTAAGTCCACTGGGCTAAGGTGCAATATTAGATTAAAAGTTGGTTAGGTAAAGCCCTGGTGATGGAGCCACAGCCTCATCATAAGTCAAAAGACAATGCAGACCAAAGGGCCCATCCTTTTCTTTTTTTTTGGTTTTTCGAGACAGGATTTCTCTGTGTAGTTTTGTGCCTTTCCTGAATCTCACTCTGTAGACCAGGCTGGCCTCAAACTCACAAAGATCCACCTGCCTCTGCCTCCTGAGTGCTGGGATTAAAGGCATGCGCCATCACCGCCCGGCCGGAGGGCCCATCCTTTTCACAGTGTACACATTCCCCCATCGTCAGGTCTCCAAACCTACAGAGCCACATTACATGCCAGTGCATCAGCTTTAAGACAACATTTAATAACCTGTAAACCTGCATGAGGACTGTGCCGTCGCCTAGGTTCTAACAGGACCCTTGGAGTCAAATGACCAGTCTGATACCAACTAGCATGAGCTTCTCAGGCAATGGGTCTGCACCCAAATAAACTGTAAGTGCTCCTTGAAGTAAAGGACAGGGAAGATCCACAAGGCCCAGCTCTGGGCACACTCACAGCTGGTACTCCGGAGAGTCCTGCCCAATTAATGAACTCAGAAAACATCCACCAGGGACCTGGGCACACCCTAAACAGTCATATCTGGTTCCTCACATAGCACAGAGTGCTCTTCATACACAAACACACACGCACACACTTACTAGGAGTGTTTTCTTGAAGGCAAGTGCCTAGGCCATAGAAAATGAAGATGGAAGTGTGAAAAAGAAAGAGATGGGGCTAGTAGGGTGAGACTTACCTCAGAACCACCCTAAACTGGTTGAACACCTCCTGGATCTGTCTTAGATTGATTATCTGGCAGGAAGAGAACAAAGCCGAGTTTAGACAATGGAACCTAGGAGCTAGGCTGTGTCTAAGCAGAGAAGTCAGGAGCCCTTGGCTGACTCTGGACCATCCCATTCTGAGAATGAGAGAAGTGCAGAAGGCTCTCAGCGGACACTGGAGAGAAGGCTCAGCAGTTAAGAGCATATACTTCTCTTACGGTGGACACACTTGGTTCCCAGTGCCCACATCAGACATCTGACAACTCTTTAGCTCCAGTTCCAGGGGATATGATACCCTCTTTCGGCCTCTACAGGTACTGCATGAAAGTATTCAAACCCACACTCAGATACACATATATACACATAATAAGTAAAAGTAAAATAATATCTTTTTTAAAACCTCTCAGCAAAGTATTAATAACACTTCCAAGAGCAGAGAGAGATACACTTGGTTAATAGTTTGTTGTTGTTGTTTGTCCATCTGTCTGTTTTGATACAGGGTCTCATATATCCAAGGCTATCCTGGAACTTGTTGTATACCTGAAAATGTCCCTGAAGTTCTGATCCTCCTGCCTCCACCTGCCAAGTGCTGGGATTCTAGGCATGTTCCACTAGGCCCTGTGTATGTGATGCTGGGGATGCAAACCCAAGACTTCCTGCACAATAGGCAAGCACTCTGTCAACCGAGTCACATCCCTAGTCCCTGATTAATAGCTTTAAAATTGTGTATTCATTGAGCCTTTATTAAAAACTATTTTTTAAGTTTTTAAAGATTTTTTAAAATTTTTTTATGTGTATGAGTGCTTTGCCTTCATGAATATGTATGCCTGATGCTCTCAAAGACCAGAAGAGGACATCAGGTCCCCTGGAACTGGAGTTACAGACTGCCATGAGAGGGACAGCAGCCCATGTAGTTCCCTGGTGAAAGGTTTTATGGCTACACTGTAAAAAACAAGATACATCCCCCTTCTCTAGCTCTTCTTGTGTGCCTGCTGTTCTCTCCTTTTATATTCCAAGAGTGGGCTCTGGGGGGCGGGTTTCCTTTAACGACAATCAACCTGACCACCATCCTTTATCAGCTGCATGCCACCAGGCACAGCCACACTTATCTCAAGGGGCAACTTAGCCAACCTCAGCCTGTGTTTCCTTTGCTGCACAGATGAGGCTACTCAACATTCAGCCCAGGTCACTCAGCTGGAGGAACCTGGGATTCCGTCAAGGCAGCTTTGCTTCAAGACCTGCATCTGTGCCCGGGAGATAGACCGCCTTTGGTATAAGACTCTGTTCCAGCCCACTGCACGTTGTATATAGCTCCACAGGTATAACATGTTTGTAACCCTAAACATGGAAGCTAGGGGCAACACCAGTTCCCATCGACTGCACCCATTCCATATATGGCAGTCCTCAGGAAGTCCAAGCTAGCTGAGCATGGTGGTCCCACAGCAGAACAACTTACATCGATCTCGTCCAGTGTCCCCTCCAGGTACCTCCGCACTTGGGAGTTGATTTCAGCAATCTGGATCTCATCCATGGGGTCATAATTCACGAGAGTGCGGTTGGACTTGAGGGATGAAGAACATGTGCTACATAAGCAACAAGAACCTGAGCCCAAGCAGGAGCAGCAAAGGCCATTCTGAGAGCCAAAGTATGGGGCTGGGAGAGTATCTGATGCCTATGCTGGCTGGCTGTTTTACCGGCAGGGAAGGCCTGAAAACAGGCCAGATGCATGGGTCAGAGAGACAATGGGGAAGGGGACTGTACATGAAGCCTGCTGCTCCAAACCAGAAGTCTCAGTAAACCACAAGGTAGGGAGATGCTGGCTCTGCCTTGAGGACCATCAGAATCATGACCATAAGCCCAGGTAGGCCACTGGAGGACTCCACTTGCCCTGCCATGCCTATTGCTGATCCTTCCCTGCTACCTAACCCATCCTACAGCCCCTGGCCTTAACCCACTATGCTGTTTGCCCCTGGTCTCTGCTCCCAGCAGCTTTCCCTTCTCCCCCATATCCAGTCCCTTACCAGGCTATCATGGATGGCCAGTTCCTGCTTAAGCAATGCCAGTTCCTTCTCCAAGTTCTTGACCATTCTCTGCCAGGGAAATATAAGAAGTAGGGAAGATGGTCATCAGAAAAACTACCTGGCTTCTTCGCACCAAATGCTCAAGCTCAATTTCTTTTTCTTTTTTGTTTGTTTGTTTGTTTTTGGAGACAGGGTTTCTCTGTGTAGCTTTGGAGCCTGTCCTGAAACTCACTCTGTAGACCAGGCTGGCCTCAAACTCACAGAGATCCACCTGCCTCTGTCTCCAGAGTGCTAGGACTAAAGGTGTGCACCATCACACCCAGCTAGATGTTCAATTTCTTAATTTGGACCCAGATATTCTGGTTATTCCTGGTAATCCAGAGTGTGTTCTCAGTTTCTAGGACATTCCATCCTTGTTGGTGAACCTCCTCCAGCTGGAATGAGCTTGGTCTAAGATGGCTTCTTTCATCAAGGGAGACTGAGAACAGGAAGCACAGGCTACAGGTCTTCAAACCTGACTCCCAGGAGCTCCAGGAGTTTCCCTAGTCTCCCAGGATATGGCCCTTCCTGGACCATGGCATATGTGTGGGGGTCAAGAGGACAAGTTGCAGGACTCGGTTCTCCCCTTCTACCATGGATCCTGGGCAGTGAACTGAGGTGCCACCACAGTGCTGATGACAAGCACCTCAATCCACCAAACCCTCGTGTATCTCAGGCTGGCCTCGGGCTTTGCATTGTAACTGACCATCTTGAAGATCGGATCCTCCTACTCCGACTTGGCAAATGCTGGAGTTACAGTATGCAGCAACATGCCTAGTTTACACTCTACCAACTGAGCCACCTCCCCGGGTCTTTACCTCCTTTTCTGCAATGATAAACAGTGTCACAAGATTATAGTTATCCTTATAGATTTCTATAAAATAACAGCGACCTGAGATACACTCTATGATCTTCCCCCATTACCTCTTTCCTACTGCTCTTCTCTGATCCACTCCACTGCCCACATATTGGTATACTTATGCCTCTGCATACCCATCCCCTCTGCCCAGGGATACTTTTCTCTACTGTATTTCCATGGTTCATTCCAAACATATAGAAAATCTTCATTCAGACACTTCCAAATTGGGGGTATCATAATCACTCTATTTAAAATTGTTATCTCTTCCCCACCTCACACTGCTCTTTCTAAAAACATCACCATATATATATATATATATATATATATATATATATATATATATACACACACACACATATATGAGACAGAGTCTCATGTAGCCCATGCTGGCTACAAAGCCATCATGTGGCCAAGAATGACCTTGACCTTCTGATCCTCTGGGAGGGCTCTTTGAGTTCTGGGATTACAGTCATGTGCTACCATGCCGGACTCCTATGGTTTGGCTCTTAAATGTCCACTGAAGGCTCCTGTGGTAAGGGCTTGATCCTTGTATTAGTCACTTTTTGTTGCTGTAACAAAATATCTGAGCAAGCCAGGTGCAGTAGTCCATGTATTTAATCCCAGCACTCAGGTGGCAAAGACAGGCTGGTCTCTGTGAGTTCAAGGCCAACCTGGGCTACATAACAATTTCCAGGCCAACCAGGGCTATTTAGTGAGACTCAGTCTCAAAAACAAACAATCGCCGGGCAGTGGTGGCGCACGCCTTTAATCCCAGCACTCGGGAGGCAGAGGCAGGTGGATCTCTGTGAGTTCGAGGCCAGCCTGTTCTACAGAGCGAGATCCAGGAGCAAAGCTACACAGAGAAACCCTGTCTCAAAAACCAAAAAAAAAAAAAAAAAAAAAAAAAAAAAAAAAAAAAAACAAACAATCAAATCTGAACAAATTTCTCTGGGCCAGAAAGGAGGTTTAATGTGATGGAGGTGGGTGGGTGGGTGCTGAAGCAAAGCTGTCCACCTCATGGTGGTCAGGGAGCAGAGAGAGTGAGGAAGGGCCCAAGAATAAGCTACACCCTTCAAATGCACACCCCAGTGATTTGCTGCCTCCACCTGGGTCTACCACCTCCCAAAATCCATTTATCAATGAACACTCCTTTGGACTGGGGTGTGGCTTAGCATGTGTGAGCCTTGGGATCAAGCCTTAGCACCACAACAAAGGAAGGAAAAGTCAGGTGTGGTGGTGTGTACATGCATGTAACTCTAGCACTTGGTAGGTGGAGGCAGGAGGGTCAAGAGCTCAAGGTCGGGCCTTGGCTACATAGCATAGAGGTCAGCCTGGGCTACACTGCAACTGTCACAAAATTTTTAAAAAGGAGGAAGAAGAGAGAAGGGGGAGGGAAGAAGGAGAAAGGAAAGTGCCTGGCATATAGAGAACACCTCATAGATTCAAGTAAGTAGAAAATGATGGATTTTGAGCAACAGAACTTGCCAAATCACTTACATTTGGTATTTGAGTATATTTTGTAAAAGATACACAAGGAATTTCTCCCTGAGACTTCTCACCATGAACAGGCTTGTCTTTGTCACAAAATGACCACTGGAGGGAGCTGCTGCCAAAACAAGTGACCCCAGCTGTGTCTATCACAGATGCAAAGGTCTTCTCAGACCATAGGCCTCATCCAGTCAGATCGCCTGGGTACTAAGGCTCACCTGTTACGGTGCATACTTGCTGATAGGCCCCTGGTATCATGGTGGTTCTGTGGCAATTTAGTCTGAGATTTAAGGCCTCTATCAGAATCCACATCCCAGCTCAGACTTTTAGGAAGCTCCAAGCAGATCTCCTTCTAGTGTGGACTGTCTTTGGTGGCTGTTCTCAGCCATCTGTTTGTTCCTCCTCACTCTTGAGAACGCACTTTGTCCCGGATACAGAAAGTCTGGCTGAGATGGTGGCAGTGTCACTGAATGACTGTTCAGTGTATCACAGGGGACACATGTGGTCCAATCAGAAGGTGAGGGGAGTAGCCTCCAGCTTACCCTGCGAACAAGGAAACTATTCTTCCTAATTCTTGACAGGTGTAGCAGCCTCTCTTACTACCTGGGGAGAAGCTGCCTGAAAACAGCTGGAGCAGAAGACCCCACAGTTCAGGGTCCTGAAAGAGCTCCTTGTACTCACATATGTATATGTATAATGCACACATATATGCACAAGAAGAATCTGTGAGAGACAGTTTTGCCAAGGCTTCACAAATAACGAGGGAAGGAACAAGGATAGCCCAAGCCAGAAGCAGCAAATGCAGCAGCTGCAAACTCAAAAACACAACCCCTCATTGGGTGGTAGTGGCACAAGTCTGTAATGCCAGCACACAGGGAGCTGAGGCAGGAGGATCAGGAATTGGAGGACAGATTGGGTTATATAATGAGACCATGTCACAAAATGGAGGATGGGGGGACCAGAAGGAAAGGGAGGAAGGGAGTAAATACTCAGACCCCATCACCTACAGAATCAGGAGCTCAGAATAGATGGGGGTTTAGTCGGCCAGGGGCTTGTAATCCTCACTGAACTTAAGAACCAGAACTGAGCTCTACATTCCTGCTAAACCATGGCGAGTTCCATGACAGCATCATCCTTCAGAGTTTAGAATGCTGTGGATATTGTTCTGTATAAATAAAACACTGATTGGCCAGTGGCCAGGCAGGAAGTATAAGCGGGACAAGGAGAGAGGAGAATTCTGGGAACAGGAAGGCTGAGTGAGGGAGACACTGCCAGCCACCACCATGACAAGCAGCAGGTGAAGATGCCGGTAAGCCACGAGCCACGTGGCAAGGTATAGATTTATAGAAATGGGTTAATTTAAGATAAAAAAAGTAGATAACAAGAAGCCTGCCATGGTCACACAGTTTATAAGTAATACAAGCGTCTGAATGATTATTTTATATGTGGGTTGTGGGAATGCGGGAGCTTGGTGGGACCTGGAGAGAAGCTCTCCAGCTACAAATGGCGCCCAACGTGGGGCAAGGGCTTCCACCTAAAATCTGAGAAAAAAAGATTCTAAAATGGAGCTGAAAACAGTTCCTAATTGTTTCTCTCAAGTTAGCGACAGCCTGCGTGTTTGAGCTACTATGGTGGGTTCCTGGCGTGCGTGCTCGACCTGCAGTATGGCAGGAATGAGGCCTCTGCAAGTGGCACATTAAGCTGCGTGGTGGATTTAGCCTTTGCTAGTACAAAACAAAAAAAGACGTTTCTGGGCTACACGCTGCTTTGATAAAAGCATAGACCCACTATTTCTGAGAGTTGATGGCTCCCAGAGCTGGCGGAAAACGTACCACCGCCATGTTGGGAAGCTGAAGTGGGCAGAGCCAGCAGCCACAGCGCTGTTTCAGTCTTAGAATGCTGCAGTTTAAAGCAATAGGTTCACAATAAGACTGATTCAGATGGAATAGTTTACAATGTATGTGAAAATGTACGTAGGCCTAAAAGAAAGAGAAAAAGGAATATATACAATTATATAAACAGATAGTTTTTAAAAATAAAGTCTTTAAAGAGACAATAAAGGTAATATAAAAAATAAACCACATAAAGATGGCTGTCACACAGAGAATCTGGATTATGTTCTCTTTGATATTTGTAACTGAAGAAAAACATTTGATTGTAAAAGCTGTTGAGTTATGCCAAAATGTATATTTTAAAGGTACCTTGACTTCAAAATTTGGATGTAAAGATATGTTGCTTTGGAAAGGAGGCTCTGCTTTTGTTTCTACAGAAAGCCAGAGGCTATGAATTTGTTCCAGATTAAGATACATCAGGTTTGACCAGCCAAGACCCCCTGAAAGGTCTCCGATGACACCATGGCCCAGATGATCCAACATCCAGATCGGATTCAAGGCAACTGGCTCAGATGATACACCCTCATGGACTACTCCATGATCCTAAAATTTTCTTTATGTCCCCATAAGATACAGCGCCCCCCTCCAGCAGGAAGTAGTAAAAAAAGCTATGCCCAAATTCCCAAATGTACGAAGCTGGCTTTGGAGATGGAATTGGCTCATTCCTTCTCTAAACGCAGGCATATTGCTTAAAAAAAAAGGTTAAGAAATTCTTGTGTCCCAAATCAAAAGAGCCCTCTGGTGTGGGACAGAGAAAAACCAATATTTTTATTTAAAACAGGTTGATTATAAATACAATCTCTTTCTAAAGAAGAAAAGGAGATATGATAGAGATATGATAGGATAAAAGGGTAAATTGCTGAACCTATTTTAAAGAGCAACAACTTATTTGAAATGTTTTACATTGGTATAGACTTTAGTTTATTGATACAAACTTAGAGTTAATTTTGTTATACTGTGTGTATATTTCTACGCTTGTTTAAGGTATTATGTTTATGTAACTCATTTAGATTGTAATGGATAATTAAGAAATACAGATAAATAGTCTTCTATGATAGTCAAACTTGTAGCATGTTAGTTAAGTTTTCTAGGTATATATAGGTATATTTCAGATAGACAGGTAATCTTCAAACACTTCAAAGACCTACAGAATATGGCATTTAAAATATTTTTTAAAATTTAGACTTTCTGGACAGTGAGACATGTCTCCTCCTGGCAGCACCGATTTACTTCAGACAGGAGGATGGGCATCAAAGACACTCCATATGGAGTTAATCTTCATCTTGGCAAAAATAGTCATTTTGGCAAGAAACTGTTCTTGCCTGGACTGCTTGAAAAAATGTATCGACTGGACATACAGGACCCACAGGAAGGTGACCACTAAACTTTGCTTGGCAAAATGGTCCTTCAGGTTCCTGCTTTACAGAGGAAACTGCCAGACATTCTACAGGACACAGAGAAAAATGACTGAGAGACTAGCCCTGTTGACTGAAGACAGATGTCCCAACTTTACAAGAGAACTTTGGATGACTGTACAGGCTGCCAGCTGTCTCTGTCTACCCTGCAAGACTCCTGAAAGTTGCTTGCATCCTTCTCCTGTTTCTCAGGTAATATTATATCCTTCTGAGGTCTTTGATGTAGTTGAAGCTAGATAGGTACAATTTTCCTCAGTTATATAAGAGGTAAGTTAGATATAAAACCTTAGACTCACAAATATAAGATAGATAAGATATCTTCTTTAATTTTGCCAAATACAAATAGACTAGTTATTATAAATAGACTAGATATTGTAACTGCAATTCTTGCTTGATAATTGTTTTGTTATCTGTAATTTTACTATGTGAAAGTTAAAACCTTCCTTTTTGAAAAAAAAAAGAAAAGGGGAAGTGCTGTGGATATCGTTCTGTATAAATAAAACACTGATTGGCCAGTGGCCAGGCAGGAAGTATAAGCGGGACAAGGAGAGAGGAGAATTCTGGGAACAGGAAGGCTGAGTGAGGGAGACACTGCCAACCGCCACCATGACAAGCAGCATGTGAAGATGCCGGTAAGCCACAAGCCACGTGGCAAGGTATAGATTTATAGAAATGGGTTAATTTAAGATAAAAAAAAGTAGATAACAAGAAGCTTGCCATGGCCATATAGTTTATAAGTAATACAAGTGTCTGAATGATTATTTTATATGTGGGTTGTGGGACTGTGGGGGCTTGGTGGGACCTGGAGAGAAGCTCTCCAGCTACATTAGAACCTAGAAAGTTTAACCCTTTTGCCAGAAACATGGGAGCATGCACATGCCCATCTCCATTAACCATCATTTCATAAGCATCTTTTTGGCTGATTTTTTAAAAAAAATGATTTATTTATTTTTATTTTATGCATGTGAGTGCTTTGCCTGAGTGTGTGTATGTGTGTGTGTGTGCGTGCGTGTGTACCATGTTTATGCCTGGTTCCCAGGGAGGACAGAAGAGGGCATTGGATTCCTCAGAACTGGCATCACAGATGGTGCCATGTGGGTGTTGGGAATGGAATTCAGGTCTTCTGTAGGAGCAATTAATGCTTTTAACTGCTGAGTCATTTCTCTAACCTGTGGGTTGATTTTTGAGGCTACGTCTCATGGAGCCTATGCTATCTTTGAACTCATGATCTTCCCGAAAACTGACCCCTGCAAGTTGTCCTTTGACCTCCACACACGTGCCCACACATACACATACACAAAATAAATAAATGTGGAGGGGTGGAGCTCCATAGTGACAGGAAGGCAATGCTGAGAGACAATGCTGATTCAGCGCTGAAGAAATCTTATGGGGAATCCTAAGGTACCAAGTCCCTGGAGCCCCACATGGGAACTGAGTGGTAGATCATCTAGCTCTTCCACTTTTGTGGCAGTGTATCAGGGTCTTCAGGGACTCTTAAAGACACTGGCTTATCCCTGTGGAAAGGATTGATCCAGGGTTCCATGCACATCTTTAGTGGAGGCATGAAGGAAACCATAGAAGCCTGGCTTCCCTTATGACCTCCACCAGATACTTGAGTGGTAGCAAACACAGAGACATCATTCTCAGAGTTGGGAAGCTGCCCACCATCTCCTTAGTACCTCAGCATCATACTTTTCGTTGATGGCAGGCTCAGTAGTGACCAACTTCATCCTGCTGGCAAACTTCAGTGAAGACAGCTGAAAGACAGACCAGATAGTTGTCAGGTGACTCCCCATGCACATGAGACCCCAAAGATCAGCCTTCTTATGGGCATGTCCTCTTCAGAGTCTTCAGGTGGCTGTAACTGGTATTAATTCACTTCTTTAAGGGGACACTGATCAAAAGGGTATTTTGGGGATCTGTGGATGTAGATGAGTGCTATAGAACCTGATTAGCATGTGGAAGGTCCTAGGGTTCAACCCTTAGCAACAAAATATAAAATTAAAAGGGGAAACCAGGCATCATGGCACATGTATTTATGAAGTGGAGGCAAAATGATCAAGAGTTTAAGATCATTCTCAGTTACATATAAAATTGGAGGCCAGCTTCAGTTACATTAGACTCAGTATCAAAAATACATAAATAGGGCTGGAGAGGAGGCTCAGCAGTTAAGAGAGCTTGCTGCTCTTCCAGAGGACCCAAGTTCAGGTCCCAGCACCCATGTAAGATGGCTCACAATTGCCTGTTACTCTAACTTTATGGGGGATCTGATGCCCTCTTCTGTCCTCTATGGGTACCTGCACTCACATGCACATACACATATTCATAGACACACATATACATAAATAAACACAAAATAAATCTTAATAAACAAGCAAGAGCTTGGCAGTGAGGTCTTCAGTAAGGGCAGAGAGTGGAGCACTAGAAATAGGAAGTTGACAGAGGCATATGCTGTGGCCAGGACCTCATCTTGTACACTATGAAGCTTGCTTGCTTTCTCTCTCTCTCTCTCTCTCTCTCTCTCTCTCTCTCTCTCTCTCTCTCTCTCTCTCTCTCTCTCTCTTTTCTTTGAGACAGGGTCTCGATATGTAGTCCAGGCTGGTCTCAAACTCACAGAGATATACCTGCCTTGCCTTTGCCTCCCGAATGCTGGGATTAAAGGCGTGCACCACCACACCACTGCACACTGGTCTATTTCTTTTTCTTTTCTTCTTTCTGCAGTGCTGGTGATCACATCCAGGGCCTTGAGCTTACTAGTCAAGCTTTCTATACTGATGAGCATCCTTAGCCCCACATTGTTCTAAATCCACACCTACCCATCTTCCACCCAGATGCCTATGCTCAAGCCACCCTATGGTGATGTTTTATTTGTGCTGAAATGTGATTTCATTTGTATGTTAATAAAGTTGCCTGGAGATCAGAGCTAAGAACAAGCTATTTAGCAGAAGTCTGGCGGTGGTGGCACACACCCTTAATCTGATCACATGGCAGGCAGAATCTCTGTGTATTCAAGGACACAGCCAAGCAGTGACCCAAACCTTTAATCTTAGTACCAACCATAGAGACCTGGAGGTCTGTATAGACAGGCAGTGACAAGGAAGTCATGTGGTTGGGTTTAGAACCAATGAGAAGGCAGAAAAGAAAGGCAATAAAAGGACAGGACACAGAAAGAAGGACTCTCAGGGGAAAGACAGCAGCTAGTGGTAAGATAAAGTGATCTTAGCTCTTGGCTACTGCTCGATCTCTGGGCTTTTAACTCTGTATTTGGCTCTGTGTTTCTTATTTAATAGACCGTTTAGAATTCCGTCTACACCACCCCCTGCCTAAGGTACTCTTTCCTTTCCTCCTACTGTTCGTCTTTCTACTCTCTGCTCTTTAAGGCCCGACTAGAAACCAGCTTCCAGCATGAAGCCTTTCTGGTTCTCCTTCACATGAAAGGGACAGACATGGTGTTCCTCCTTTAGGAGGGTGTCCCTGCCCTTCTTTATCCACTTCTCTTGGTCTATATTAGTAAAGTCTAAAAGAAATAACATGCAAACCATATTCATAATTAATTTTTTTCCTTTATTTCCTTCCGTATGTTTTCTTGAGACAAGGTCTTTATATGTAGCCCTGGCTGTCCTGGAATTCTCTATGTAGGCCAGGCTGGCCTCAAATTCACAGAATTGCACCTGCTTCTATCTCCAGAGTGCTGGGATTAAAGGCATGCACCACCATGCCACGTGTGGGTCTGGGGAGAAGAGCTCGGTTGGTAAAGTACTTGACTACACAAAGGTGAGGACCCAAGAACTTGAGTTTGATCACAGAATGCATGTAAAGAAGCCTGTGTGGTGGCATGAGCTTCATCTCCAAGCTGGTGAGGTATGGACAGGTAGATCCTTGGGGTTGGCCAGCCATCTTAGCCTTAATGGGCTACCTCTCGGTTAATGAGAGATCCTGTCCCAAAAGACAAGGTGGGGGCTGGAGAGATGGCTCAGTGGGTAAGAGCACTTGTGATGAATGCAAGGGTCCTGAGTTCAAATCTCATGCACCCATATAAAAGCCAGGCACTGGCTATGTGTGCCTGTAACCCCAGTGTTGGGGTTAACTGAAAGAATCTATCTCAAAAACTAAGGTTGATAGCAATAGGGGAAGACATGTAACATGCCCAGTCTTTTATCACTTTGATAGAAATAAAACTAGGACACCACACAATCCTGATGACCTGAGTTCAATCTCTGAAACTCACAGTGGAAAAAGAGAACTAGCTCCCGAAAGTTGTCCTTTGGCCATGTGCACCCCCTACAACAATAAAAATAATGATATGTTATTATTATGATACATGCTAGAGATACAGTCTGGTGATAGGGTTACGTGTCTAGCATGTGTGAAGCCCTGGGATCAATCCCTAGCAGTGCCCAAAAGAAAAACAGGTCAGGCATGGTGATGCATGCCTGTAATCCCAACACTTGGGAGGTGGAGGCAGGAGGATCAGGAGTTCATGGTTGTTTATGGCTGTTGGTATTCTGACCCGCCCCTTGGAGCTGCTCTGCATTCTGATGTGAAAGCCTCATTTTAAAGAAGAACCCCTCCCCTTCCTCTCTCTCTTCCGCACTCTCTCTCTCCATTCCCACGAGGTGTGCACACCTCTGCTTTCCCTCCCTTCTCTTCCTCCTGTCTCTCTTTCCTGACTTTCTCTTCATCTCTCTATTATAATAAACTCTCTTCAGGTGGATGCAGCACCTGGGTATGAGTGACTGTTCCACAAGCTGCTGCCCACCGCTGCATCTGCCCGTCATGTTTCCCTGCACATGTGGGATACCCTGGCCTGGCCAATTGGGATCTGGCTACATACAAAGCACAAAAACATCTGGTATACATAAGTATATGAGACCCTCTCAAGAAATGCCTCCCAAGAAAAAGAGGAGGAAAGGAGGAGGAAGAAGAGAAGCAGAAGCTGTTCCAAAGCAGACTTGATGTCTCTTAGTGACTTCTGGGGACCCTTCTGGGGCAATTATGGCTAGAGACCATGGGGGTGGGGGTGGGGCAAAACAGCCTGACCGCACAGCTGCCATGACAGGCTTACTGGTAGGCAACATCCCATCCAGGAAAAGCCATAAACTGACACTATCCTGGGATGGGCCAGGGATGAGGAATTACCTGACATCCAAACATTCCAACCCTTAAATAAGGTTAGATAAGATGGCCAGATGTCCCTGAGCCTAGCACACACCTATTTCCCCTTTACAGGTACCTAGACAAATGTCAGCCAATCAGGGTCCTGAACCCTAGAAATCCCCTCACCCCAACCTTTGCTAGATAAAAACCCTACCCTTCCTGGGCTCAGGGCTCTCTGCTCTCACCGCTACATCCAACAGAGAGAGACCAAGCTCTGAGCTTAAAATAAAGGCTCTTTGCTTTTACATATGGAATTCGGTCTCCATGGTAGTCTTTTGGGGGTCCCTGCGGTCTGGGCAGAACAGAGCAGCCACGTGAGTAGGCACCCTGGAAACAGCCTCAATGCACAGATGTAGGATGATGGGCGGAGCACAAGGCAGGCCCTGAGAATGGAGCCTCACATCATGCGGGCTGACTGTCAGTGAGGAACAGGCTTGGAAGGGGGGTGGGTCACCTTGCAGTGGCCCCAAGGCAGGACTGCTGAGGTTCTTCCTCAGTGCTGTAGTTTGGTGGTTAAGAGCTCTGCCGTGGTCATATGAGTGACCTTACATAATTCTCACCACATCCTTGTACAGGGATGGAGGACCTGCCTTGTGAGTTCCTGGGAGACACAGTGGTGCGGTTTCTGATGTGCTCATTACAGAGAGATCTCAGAAGGAAGCCTAATTGTTGTTACAGGCACTAGTTTTGTGGGGATCCAAACCAGACTCCTGCTCCAAGCACAACTGTTGCTTTTGCTTCAGGGCATTGGTCCCCACCCCACCCACCCCCACACTACTGTTATTACATAAAGTAATACAATGCATGACAGGAACACCTTTCGAGTATTTTTTTTTTTTTTTTTTTTTGGTTTTTCGAGACAGGGTTTCTCTGTGTAGCTTTGCGCCTTTCCTGGATCTTGCGCTGTAGACCAGGCTGGCCTCGAACTCACAGAGATCCACCTGGCTCTGCCTCCCGAGTGCTGGGATTAAAGGCGTGCGCCACCACCGCCCGGCTCGAGTATTTTTTTTTTAACAATTAGAGAAGTGCTCAGGAGGCAGAAGCAGGCAGATCTCTGGGAGTTCAAAGCCAGCCTAGTCTACACAGTGAGTTCCAGGACAGCTAGAACTGTTTCACAGAGAAACCCTGTCTCGAAAAAAAAAATAATAATAATAAATTAAAAAAAGAAAAGAAATGAAAAAGAAAGAAAAAAAATTTAGGGAAGAGACTCATTAGCATCCACATCCCTCATATACCTTTGTTCTAAACCCCTAAGACCCTTTTTCCCTGTCTGTGGTTCAGGCCAGGGTCAGAGCCTCTGAGCAGTGAGGGAACAAGACCCTGGAGGTCTCAGGTGCCAGGAGAGCTGCTTCCTGTGCTCTGACTACTTCAGGGTTGGAGCTGAGGGAAGGAGGGGCCATAAACTGTGCTGGAAGGTATTTTTCTTCTCTTTTTTCCCCCTTTGTTATGAAGTAGAGTTGGAGTTTACTAAAGATATTTTTAAATAGATTTTTAAGCACAAGGATTAAGAGAAAACAGATATTGAGAAATTAAGACACTTGTTATAGAATATACAATCATGGATCACAATACTAAACAACTCAGGAGAAAACAGCAATGGTCACTGAGTCTCTAGAATATTAATCTGGGCATAGTCAGTGGCCAGAATTGCCTTCTACTTTATTAAATATACTTTTTGCCTTTCCTTTGTATACTTTTTAGTTATATTTGAAACGTGTCCAGAGGAACAGCCAACTGATTAACCCCAAGGCTCTTCTGCTTTGTTTTGCTTGTTTTGAGACAGGGTCTCACTATGTAGCCTTGACCAGGCTGGAACTCTGTAGACCAGGCTGGCCTCAAACTCACAGAGATCCACCTGCCTCTGCCTCCTGAGTACTGGGATTAAAGGCGTATGCCACCACCACCCAGCCCCAAAGCACATTCTCTTTGTGTGTGTGTGGTTTTTCAAGACAGGGTTTCTCTGTGTAGTCTTGGTGCTTGTCCTGGATCGCTGGCCTCCAACTCACAGAGATCCACCTGGCTCTGCCTCCCAAGTGCTGGGATTAAAAGCGTGCGCCACCCCTGCCCGGCCCCAAGGCACGTTCTTAAAGCTACACTACAGTAGGAATGCTTACTACAGAGCCACCTGACCGCCTTGACACCTGTGTCTGGCATCATGCATTCCTATCACAGAAAGGCATAGGGTGACCCCCAAATGGGTCCATGACTAAAAAGTCCCAGCACATGTAATGACCTCCCCAAACTGCACGGATAGAGTTCTCGAGGGTATCTATCTTAATAAGGCAGCCAGGAGGTCAAAGTTGTTATAGCTCCTCTGGGGCTCAACTGAGCTTTGTTATGAGATGAGACCAGGAGGTTCCTAAAGCCTTCCCCTGGGGTGCTGCCTCACGTCAGCCAGGGCTCTTTGGCTTGGCTTCCCAGGCCCCAGGGCGTTGAGTGTGCAGCAAGAGTGCTCGCCCTGTGCTGGGACAGTCCCTAGTGCACATGGACTGGAGGCCCCACAGGCATGTCTTGCCTCACAGCATTCCTGGAAATTATCCAGTTCACCCAAGTGAATTCTCCAGATAGCGAAGCCTGCCTTCAGCATTCACAGTGGTAGAATGGCTAGGGACCATTTTCCAAACCTGTCTTATGATACGGTACTTTAGAGGAGAGAGGGAAGCCCAGCCTGGAGTGGATGCACATGTTGCTGTGTCGGACACTGATTCCTGTCTAGCATGTTCATGAATGCCCCTCCTCAAGCCTCCTGTGTCCTGTACTGGGCTATCTCTCTGAGTCACCTCTGTGTCCACATCTGCCCTCTTCAGACTCTGTCATGGCTCCAGCCATGTGCAGGAGAATAGCCAGAACTATCAAGGCCCTGAAACTTTTCTCTTTCCTTCTTAGACCTGTAGAGCAGCACAGTGTTCCTGGCATGAGTCTCACTCCAGCCCTGCCATTGCCTCTACCAGAGCACTCCTGCATCCTTCTGCCAATCTTCTAATGCACCATCGCCTCTATCAGAACACTCCTGCATCCTGCTGCCAATCTTCTAATGCACCATCGCCTCTACCAGAACACTCCTGCATCCTGCTGCCAATCTTCTAATGCACCATCGCCTCTACCAGAACACTCCTGCATCCTGCTGCCAATCTTCTAATGCACCATCGCCTCTACCAGAACACTCCTGCATCCTGCTGCCAACTCTAATGCATCATCGCCTCTACCAGAACACTCCTGCATCCTGCTGCCAATCTTCTAATGCACCATCGCCTCTACCAGAACACTCCTGCATCCTGCTGCCAATCTCTAATGCACCATCGCCTCTACCAGAACACTCTTGCATCCTGCTGCCAATCTTCTAATGCACCATCACCTCTACCAGAACACTTGTGCATCCTGCTGCCAATCTTCTAATGCATCATCACCTCTACCAGGAACACTTGTGCATCCTGCTGCCAATCTTCTAATGCCACCCACTTCAGTGCCTACCTCAGCTTCAGGAAAAAAAAAAAGTCCCTTCCCCTCCCTGGCCTCTTGTGGAGGTTTCTTCCACCCAGGACTCTAAGTGACTTAGGACCAGGACTTTTCTTTTTGGATTGGGCTCTGATGCATCTCTACTAACTATTCACCTCACAAACATGTTCTTTGTCTCCACAAAACTCTCACTATACCCTCCTTAACCTCCCAAGGTTAAGCCTGCCTCACACCTTAGCTTCTTCCTTAATAAGGTTTATTGCTTGGTATTCAGACCCTGGTCTCTGTCACCCTCAGCAACTGTGGCTCAGATTCATGCCTGCGGTCCCTGACAATGCCATGGATAGTGTACCATCTGAGCCATTGGCTGTTTCTACATACCGTTTCTTCTAACTGGGCTGCTTCTCCATAGATGTTTGTCACAAGGACCATATTGCAGTTTCCCCCTGCAGAAAGAAAAACACAGGAGAGTCTACAATCATGTAAGTTTTCTGACAAGAGAATCCCTTAGGGTTGACAGAGTTGTTATGGACTCAATGTTTGTATCCCCACAATATTTATAACCTCTGAAATTCCAACTCCAAACACCCACTCTGATGTACCTGGAGGGGGGCCTTTGAGAGGTAATTACATTTAGATGAGGTCTTGCATGTACAGCCCCTATGATGGGGTTATTGTCTTTGTAAGATAAGAAAAATCATATCATTCTTTCTACAAGAAGTGGTCATCTGCAGCCAGGTGGTGGTGGCACATGCCTTTAATCCCAACACTCGGGAGACAGAGGCAGGTGGATCTCTGTGAGTTCGAGGCCAGTCTGGGCTACAGAATGAGTTCCAGGACAGACTCCAAAGCTACACAGAGAAACCCTGTCTCGAAAAAACCAAAAAAGAAGAAGAAGAAGGAGAAGGAGGAGAAGGAGGAGGAGGAGGAGGAGGAGGAGGAGGAGGAGGAGGAGGAGGAGGAGGAGAAGAAGAAGAAGAAGAAGAAGAAGAAGAAGAAGAAGAACAAGAAGAACAAGAAGAAGAAGAAGAAGGAAGAAGAAGAAGTAGTAGTAGTAGTAGTAGTGGTGGTGGCCATCTGCAAACCAGGAATGGAATCTATTGGCACCTTGATCTTGGCCTTGCCAGTCTATGTAACTATGAAAAACGGTGGTCACCTAAGCCTCCCAGACTATGGTCCTTTAACAGTCCATGCTGACTTAGAGGCAGAAGAGACAACCCTAGTCTGCCTGAGGCTAGGAGGCAAGAGACAGAGAGGTGGGGATGGAGAGAGAGAGACCACGAGATGGACACAACTCTGGAGACTGGAGAAAGCCCAGGAGGAAGGTGAGAGTTAGAGCTTTGCTCATGGCATCACAGGAATGACGACCAGAAACCAGGGACCGTGTCACTAAGCCCAACACAAAGCCTTAGACAGGTGGGGATGACAAGGTGGCTCCCACTGTTGTGTCCAGGAAGATAGAAAGGAAAAGGGGGAAATGATAGGAGAGGCCCTTTCTCTGAGTCTCCAAGGCCACACAGGTCTCTGCCAAACATTTTTAGGGACAAGGAAGAAGGAGAAAAAGTTCCCAGCAGAGGCAAAAGCTTGAGTAGAGAGTCTAAGGCATGAACAGCAAGAGTGCAAGAAGAAGGCTTGCCTGTGTGTCTAACTGGCATCACTCCTGAAGAGCTGTAAGTAACTTCGTTCCCCCGGGACAAAGTGGTTCTCTGATCCCTAACAGCAGATGAGCCTGACCTAGCCCTCCCCAGGACACAGACCCTCACTTCTGATGAGAACCAACCACATCCTCACCTAAGGAGTCTTTCAGGGCATGGGTGAGCTTGCACTGCCGGAAGGGGATGTGGTCCCGTTTCTGGTCCCCAAGGGCAATGATGGCCTGCTCCAGGAATGACAGCGACTTGTTGATGTAGGTGGCTTCCTTTAGGACTCTACCTTCCGACTGCAAACAAAATGTGCGGTCATTCATGACAGATGAGGGAGGCTACCCTATTAAGACTGTCTACCCTTCCTAATTTATAGTGATGCAAAAGTCTACAGCCAGGCTGGAGCCTCCTTCCTAGAACCAGGATCTTTTCCTCCAAGTTGGGAGTGTTTTCCACCTTGGGCTACTGATAATGGCAATAGTAAAACTCACAGGGAACCATGAAGTAGTGGTGCATGCCTTGAATCCCAGCACTCAAGAGGCAGAGACAGGAGGATCTTTGTGAATTCAAGGCCAGTCTGGTCTACAGAGCTAGTTCTAGGACAGCCAGGGACCCTGTCTTGAAAAACCAACCAAACAAACAAACAACAATAAAAACCTCACAGGAAGCCGGGCAGTGGTGGCACATGCCTTTAATCCCATCACCCAGGATGCAGAGGCAGGTAGATCTCTGAGTTCGAAAGGCCAGCTTTGTCTACAGAGCGAGTTCCAGGACAGCCAGGGCTACACAGAGAAACCCTGTCTTGAAAAACAAGAAAACAAACAAAAAGAATACGTCCATGAATAATCATATGATACTCATTCCAAGACTCACCCTGATACAAATGCACATGAAATACCTGAGCAAGTATAATATTCACACAAATATAGTAATACACACAAATTGCAAATGCTCCTCTAAATGCTCTTGTGAAAATTTTTTGTTAAAATATTTTTGCTAAATTATGTTTGAAATTAAATATGCATGTAAATACTCATATCCATACAGAGAGTCACCATACCAGTGCGGAGCATTTACTGAGCAATTACTGACTATAGGTGAGAGATAATTACAAGGAACCTAAATCTTTCCCATCAAAATAATGTTCGGGCTGGGTGGTAGTGGCGCACGCCTTTAATCCCAGCACTTGGGAGGCAGAGGCAGGCGGATCTTTGTAAGTTTGAGGCCAGCCTGGTCTACAGAGCGAGATTCAGGAAAGGCACAAAGCTACACAGAGAAACCCTGTCTCAAAAAATAAAAAAAAAAAAAAAATGTTCACAGGAATGAACCTTCTGTGATGCTATTGCATTCTCCCTACCTTGTAAAACTGTTTATGCAGAGACCTTGCTGGATTTTCAAAACTCGATGACTCAGAGATGCTGACATGTTCCCCCAATTCCTTTGCACCAATTTTCACCAGTCACCCAAGTCTGTGAGGTCAGACCCCAGCCAATGGAGAAATGACACAGCACTCTTGTGTTAGGATAAAGACTTATCTTATTTTTGGCTGGGTGTACTTGTTACCTGAATGAAGCAATGTACCCTCTGGCCGAAGTAAAAGCTTACTTGCCAATTTACTCTCACTTTGTGTGATGCTGGTGAGGTCCCTTATTTCTAGTATAGACACTACATTCCCACGGAGTACAAACTACACTCTAGCTGCTGCTCTGCCTCCAGTGACTCCCTTACTGTACTCGACTTCACCCGGTTGTTCTCAAGCACTCAGTGTGGGATATGCACACACGGGCTCTATGCCACAGGGCCTGGGAGGGGCGCACATGGGCTCTATGCCACAGGGCCTGAGAGGGGCGCACACACACACAGGCTCTATGCCACGGGGCCTGGGGGGGCACACACACAGGCTCTATGCCACAGGGCCTGGGAGGGGCGCACACGGGCTCTATGCCACAGGGCCTGGGAGGGGCACACACAGACTCTATGCCACAGGGCCTGGGAGGGGCGCACCCGGGCTCTATGCCACAAGGCCCATGGCTTGTTGACAGGGTATTCCACACCCTCACTTACCCCTGTCTTCCCGAGCCTCTCTGAGCCAGCCAGATCTACCAAGTTGATTTTGGAAGTGATATACTTTTCATCTGATAAGGTCCGAGAGTGGGCCTACAAAAACATCCAAACAATTCAGAACGCACTGGGAGGAGTTTCTGATCGGCACCCACAGGAGTCACTAGTCCTTCTCGGGCCGAACAAAGAACTTGCACCTACCTCCATGTAGATGGTGAAAATGCAGTGTGACCTGGATGAATTTTTGTTCATTGTGTGGGAGGCTATGATCCTGTTGGTCTCTCCCTGAAGAGGAAATATGCGAGACATTTTGAAAACTGAAAACAAGGTATCTGAGTAATTTTCCAACACGCATATCATTATGACCAGCTGGGCCTCCTGGGAAAACGTCTTTTGAAAACTATTAAAAAAAAAAAAAAAAAGGGCTGGAGAGATGGCTCAGAGGTTAAGAGCACCGACTGCTCTTCCAGAGGTCCTGAGTTCAATTCCCAGCACCCACATGGTGGCTCACAATCATCTGTAACGAGATCTGGCACCCTCTTCTGTATACATAATAAATAAATCTTAAAAAAAAAAAAAAAGAAAACTACTAAAAGGGAAACAAACTGGAGTTTGGTCCTATATTTTCACAACCTGACAGTATCTGGAGTGAAGTGTACAAACTGGCATTTTCCGAAGAGTGAGGCATGGTGGTGAGAATCAAGACAGGGGCTGGTGAGATGCCTCAGCAGTTAGGAGCACTTGCTGCTCTTCCAGAGGACCCAGGTTCAATCCCCAGCACCCACATGGTGAACCGCCTCTAACTCCAGTTCCAGGGATCCAGTGCCCTCTTCTGACTTCAGTAGGTCTTGCCTGCATACACGCAGGAAAATACTCATAGATATAAAAGTATAACATAAAAATAAACATTTTACCAAAAAAGTAAGAGGCTTAAGATGTTCAAGAACAATGAATTGGAATCAACTGCCTATCCAACTATCAGAGATCTATAGTACATAGGAATGCTAGGAATCAAGAAAATAATGATAAATCATGTGCTTGTTCGTTTCTTTGCTTGTTTTGGAGATCGGGTCTCACTCTGTAGCTCTGGATAGCCTGGAACTCACTCTGTAGACCAGACTGACTTCAAACTCAATAGACCCTTCTGCGTCTGCCTCCCAAGTGCTGGTGTTACAGGTGTGAGTCATTGGATCCACTTTGACAAATAGTTTTTTTTTAATTAATTTTTAAGTTAGCACACAAAGTGATGGGTTTAATGGGGCATTTTCATATATACACATCATTATGCTTTCTTTTTATTCATCACTGACAGGTTTTACTAACTGAGAAATGCAGAATCTAAAATCATACTATGGTATAAGTCATACAAAAGCACCAATAGAAAAACCATGCATGGGTCAGCAAGATGGCTCAGCTGAATGGCCTGTCCTGACCTATACCCACTAGGGTACCAATTCTCCTAGAACACTCCCTCTTCAACCCCATAGTGAACTTCTTTTATTGTTGTAGTTATTTTAAAAATCATCGTATTTTATGTGTATGGGTGTTTTATTTATACATCACCTGTGTTCCTGGTGCCTTCAGGGGCCCAAAGGGGCTGTCATGTCCCCTGGAACTGGAATTGCACAGTTTAGCCTCCACTGAGGTGCTGAGAATTGAACCTGGGTTCTCTGGAAGAGCAGCCAGTGCTCTTCACCACTGAATGACCTCTCCAGCCCCACAGTGAGAGAAAAAGAAAGGAACCAAACTGAGCAGCTTGCCTCCCTCCCTCCCTTTCTCTTCCCCCTACCTCTCTCGGCTCTTGTTTCAGGTGCACCAGGCAGCCTCAAGCTTGCTGTGCAGCTGAGGATGACATTGAACTCCTGATTCTCCTGCTTCCACCTCCTACATGTGCTCACTGTAACCACAAGCATGTGCCATCTGGCTTTATGTGGGGGATGTTTCTTGAACGTGTGTGTGTGTGTGTGTGTGTGTGTGTGTGTGTGTGTGTGTGTGTGTGTGTTTGATATAGGGTCTCACTATATAGCCCAGGTTATAGCACAACCTAGCCTCAAACTCACCCTGCTTCATCTTCTCAAGTAATAGGATTTACAGGCCCCAACAGACATTTTAATCACAGTTTAGCTGGCTGCAGAGGCCCCAGAGCTACACACATGTAACTAGCTAAGTTGTATGCAACTGACTGACTGATTGACAGCAGTCAACTAAGATGACTACCATGTGCCGGGTAGCGCACGCCTTTAATCCCAGCACTCGGGAGGCAGAGCCAGGCGGATCTCTGAGTTTGAGGCCAGCCTGGTCTACAGAGTGAGTTCCAGGACAGAAAAAAAATATATATATTTTGGCAATGATTTTCTTTTACCTCATAAATACCTTTATAAAGTTCTGAGCATTTGAACAGTGTAACCAAAATACATAAGAAAGTGGAAGTGAGACATTGAAGCATTATAATCATCCTTTTTGTTTTGTTTTGTTTTTGTTTTTCTTTTTTTTTTTTTCTTTTTTTTTTTTTTTGGTTTTTCGAGACAGGGTTTCTCTGTGTAGTTTTGCACCTTTCCTGGATCTTGTGCTGTAGACCAGGCTGGCCTCGAACTCACAAAGATCCGCCTGCCTCTGCCTCCCGAGTGCTGGGATTAAAGGCGTGCGCCACCACCGCCTGGCTTGTTTTTGTTTTTCAAAACAGGGTTTCTCTGTGCAGTTTTGGTGCCCATCCTGGAACTCACTCTGTAGACCAGGCTGGCCTCAAACTCAGAGATCTGCCTGTCTTTGCCTCCCAAGTGCTGGGATTAAAGGTGTGCCACCACCTCCCAGCTGCCAAAATAGGACTTTCAATATTGAAAGTAAAGTAAGGCCATTTTCAAACAACCACAAGAAAACACTTTTGGTGCCTGTCCTGGACCTTGCTCTGTAGACCAGGCTGGCCTCAAACTCACAGAGAACTGCCTGGCTTTGCCTCCCGAGTGCTGGGATTAAAGGTGTGCACCACCACCACCTGGCAAGAAAACACTTCATTACCAGCCGCTTTTGCACACATGAGAAGAAAATAATCCCACACAGATGGTAGAGGGAAAACAAGCAAATAAAATGATGAACATAAAACTCCACAGAGTAGTAGTGATATGCCAGTGGAGTTTAAGAACACGCTAGGTGTCGTGGTGTACACCTTTAATCCTGGTAATCAGGAGGCAGAGGCTGGTGGATCTCTATGAGTTCAAGGTCAGCCAGGACTACATACTGAGTTCCAGGACAGCCAGAGCTATGGAGAAACCCTGTCTCAAAAAAGGCATAAAAAGTCAAGATTCCTCTAATATGTCACTCACTGCTCCTGCCACCGGGGAAGCTCTTTCATCCCGTGAACTCAAGGGCAAACGGTACAAATCACCCATGCAATTTTTTTTTTTTGAGACAAGGTTTCTCTGTGTAACAGCTCTGGCTGTCCTTGAACTTGCTCTGTAGACCAGGCTGGCCTTGAACTCACAGAGATAAACTTGCCTCTGCCTCCCAAGTGGTGGGACTAAAGGTGTATACCACCACAGTCTGGCCCATGTGACCTTTTAAAAAAAGTTTTGTTAATTATAATTTTTGGTTTTTTGATCTTGCACAGGTTGGCCATGAGCTCTTAAATTCACCTACCTCAGCCTTCTAAATGCTGGAATTATAGGGGTGCACCATCACACTTGACTGTTGTAATGTATATACCATAAAAGGCACTATTCTGCTATCTTTTGTAATGCAATGATTTTTAGCAAATGTACAGAATTGCACAACCATTAGCACAAGCCTATTTTAGAACTGCTACATCACCCCAAAAGCTTCCTGGGGCCCATGTACAGTCCCTTTCCACTCCCTTCCCAGGCACCCACTGAGCTTCTTAATTAATGGCTTTTGGGGCACATTGTTTTGTTTTGTTTGACAAGGCTTATTTAACAGCCCTGGCTGTCCTGGAACTTGCTTTGTAAACTAGGCTGGCTTCACTCATAGAGATCCACCTGCCACTGCTTCTTGCGTGTTGGGATTAAAGATGGGCCTGTCTTGGCAGTGCTGAGGACCAAACTCAACCTTGTGCGTGTTAGGCAAGTACTCTGCCACTGGGTTACACTCCCAGCCCACCATATGTCTTTTTTTGAGTTAACATTACGTCACTTTTGAATTGCAGATGTGGTTGCATATACTTGTAACCCCATCTCTTGGCAGGCTGAGGTAGGAAGACAGTGAGCTCAAGGTCAGCCTGGCCAATTGTAGAAACCCTAACAAAAACAATTCTTTGTAATTAAATTTAAATTTGAAAATTAGAGCTGTGGGCTGGAGAGATGGTTCAGTGGTTAAGAACAGTGGCTGCTCTTCCAGAAAACCAGGTTTCATTTCCCAGCATCCACATGGCAGCTCACAACTGTCTGTAACTCCAGTTCCAAGGGATCCGACACCCTCATACTGATATACATGCAGGCAAAACACCAATGCACATAAAATTAAAAGAAGAAAATAAATAAAAGAAAAATGGAAATAGATTTACAAAGAAAAGAGGATTGGAGCTGTGAGATGGCTCAGAGGGTAAAGGTGTCTACCGCCAACCTGATGACCTGAGTTCAGTCCCTAGGACCTACACGGTAGAAGGAGAGAACTGATTTCTGTAAGTTGTCCTCTGACCTATAAACACACACACACACACTAAATAAATAAAATCAAACCACACTGATAGGACCAACAAACAAACAAGTAAACTTACAAGTTTTATCGAAAGACCTAGCAATTCTATTCCTAGGTGCCTACCAAGAGAAAGGAATGCATAATGCACAGATACACACAAAGACTCATATGCAAATGTTCACAGTAGCAGCATTATTCATAGTTACCAAAGATCGTCTCCCACAGGTTAGGCAGTGAATGGATAAACATCTCACAGTGGAGAATCATTGAGCAGTAGAGGAAACGGGTGGGGGACTTGCCCAGCATGAGCCCTTAGCTCAACCTCCGTCACCACAACCAACCTCATAGAAAAAAAGAACTAGAAGGACATGTTTTTTTGCCTTAAATGAAAAACATTTTATGAATTTTGGTTCTTCTTATTCAACACTTAGTTTTCTAAATCAGCACATATGAATTTTCATTCTGTTTGTCAAAGTAAATAAAAAATATGAAAGAAGTAGGGAAGAGGAAGATAAGGAAGTGGGGGAAGGGAAGAGGGAGGGAGGGAGACAAGGGACTCTGATCATCTCACCTCAAAGAGGAGGCTGAATGCATCCTCCTCTTGACTTGTGAGATGGACCGACAATCCCTTAATGAAGACCCCTTGAGGGTTTTCCACGATGGTCATTGGTGTGACTGAGGGTCCCACATAGGGCAGAGTGGACAGGAGATCAAACAGGTTCTCATTATAGATCTCCAGGTAGGAAACACGTACAGTGATGGCATGTGTGGGGCGCTCCTCAATCATCCTAAAAACCTAGATGGAGATTTGACCACAGTCACTAAGAGTAGAGCTCCAACAGCCAGCGCGTTAACATCAGCCCTGAGGAAAGCCTCAGGAGAGAGCATCGGGGAGTGTGGGACAATTCTTGTCCTAAAAAGGTTTATAGTCTGGCTGATTGATGATGGGCATGATCAACAACAACTACTACTGTTAGGTAAGATTATTGACTCTTGGGTTTTATTGTTTTGGTTTCCACACTGTGTCCCGGGCTGTTTAGAATTCAAAATGTAGCCCAGTTAATTATCCAACTCACCGGCTTTCTGCTTCAGTCTTCCCTAGTACTGGGATTACAAGTGTGGGCCATCATGCCCAGCTAGAGATACTTAAGTGTTTTGTTTGAGATGGGGTCTCATGTAACCCAAGTTGCTCAGGAATTCTCAATGTAACTAAAGATGACCTTGAACTTCTGGTCCTATTGCCTCCATTCTCTGATTACAAACACACGCCACTATGCCTTTTGTCCCCCCCTTCAATGGTTGGGGATCAAATCCAAGGCTCTGTGCATGTTAGGCATTTACCAAGTGAGCTACACTCTCAGCCTTTAGATATTGAAATTTTGACAGTGGGATAGTAAGCCTATTACTTCCGAAAAATGAGCATGGGGGTTTATTAGAAAAGCTTTTGTTTGACAGCCCTAGCTATCTTGGAACTCGATTTGTAGACCAGGCTGGCCTTTAACTCACAGAGATCAGCCCTCCTCTGCCTCCCAAGTTCTGGCATTAAAGGCGTGCACCACCGAGCTGGCCAGAGGGGAAGAAGGCCTTTTTCATCCTACCTTTAACCAGATGGTCCTCACCAGACCTGGGCTAGCAGGCCCCAAGGGAAGGCCCTTCTGCCTAGGCTTCTGCTTTATTCCCAGAGCCATGGCTGCCACAGTCCTAAAGGCTCAGTCATGCCCTGCTTCTTGCCCTTCTTCTTTCAGGAAATACTGAATGAAGAAGCCACAGCAAGACAATAAGGAAGTTCTGAAAGAGCTGCATTCCCTTCATTAAAACCAGCAACAAGCATGATTAGGACCTCCAAATCCTTAATTACAGGTTCACAGACCATGGGAGCAGCAGGAACCTGATTAGCATGCCTGTTCTCTCCTTCACAAATAAGGAAACAGGCTTATTGTCAGGGAGGGTCTATCTGAAAATCAAAGCCCTGTTTTCCTGGGGACTCGGACTCCACCCCAAGCCCAGTCACAGAAGCCTGTCTCCAGTACCAGTGGAGCTGTAGTTCACTTGGAGGCTGAGCCCACTGTCTCTAGTGGCCAACCTGGAGAGAAGAGGGCAGCTGTGTGGCATCCCAACACGGGCCCATTCTCTACCTGCTGCAGGGCACGAGGGAGAATACCCCGGTGCTTGTAATTCTCAGTGGCCCCCGTCATGGTGTATGTCTTGCCAGCTCCCGTCTGCCCATAACACATAATGGTACCTGCAAACATTTCGAAATATGTCTGAGTGACATTCAGAAAAATCACTTCATGTACAACTCTTGTCTCCTCAATACGCTTGGTGCCATCCAGGACTCCTGATGTGAAGGTAGTCAGTAAAACATCCAGAGACATCAGGACAGGAAGAGGGCAAGTACACAGGGGGACAGAGACATAAACAGTCAAAACATGAACTTGTGCCCTCCATCTGTGATCTACATAGAGCTCTATGCTTCCTGTCCCCAGATGATCTGGTCCTAGGGTTAGGGAACGTTGTGGCTTGAAAAGAATAGGAGGGAGCTGGAACATTAGACCTTCTCTTTTTTTTCTTTGTTTTTTTAAAGATTTATTTATTTATTTATTATGTATACAGTATTCTGTCTGCATATATATCTGCAGGCCAGAAGAGGGCACCAGCTCTCATTACAGATGGTTGTGAGCCACCATGTGGTTGCTGGGATAGAACTCAGGACCTCTGGAAGAGCAGTCAGTGTTCTTAACCGCTGAGCCATCTCTCCAGCCCAAAGTACTTGACTTTTTTTTTTTTTTTTTTTTTTTTTTTTTTTTTTTTTCCCGAGACAGGGTTTCTCTGTGGTGTTTTGGTGCCTGTCCTGGATCTCGCTTTGTAGACGAGGCTGGCCTCGAACTCACAGAGATCCGCCTGACTCTGCCTCCCGAGTGCTGGGATTAAAGGCATGTGCCAACGCCACCCGGTGGGTGATAGGTTTTAAATGAGTGGTCCTAATTCCGGATCTTGGAGCCAGAAACAATCAGCAATTAGCCCATTGCTAATGAACCAGAAGTCACATCAGCTGGCATTCAGAGCCCATCTGTAGTTCTGCAGCACCAAGTGCCTGACTATTAAGTTTCCTAATTCTTTTTTTGTTTGTTTGTTTTTCAAGACAGGGTTTCTCTGTGTAGCTTTGTGCCTTTCCTGGAACTCACTTGGTAGCCCAGGCGGGCCTCGAACGCACAGAGATCCTCCTGCCTCTGTCTCCCGAGTGCTGGGATTAAAAGCGTGCGCCACCACCACCTGGCAAGTTTCCTAATTCTTAATCCCCCATCTTTACCTCTAGGCCACAGTCTCTCAGGGAATCATGAACGGATCACTGGGTCCGTGAGGACCACATCTATGTATCACCTGCAGAATACGTTACAATGTTGGCACCTAAGACTCTGGAAAATGGAGAGAGTCTAGCTATATAATTCAAACTGTTCTCACATCCCTGATCCCCTGCCTCCACCTCCCAAGTGCCGCACTTACAAACATGTGCAGCCATGCCTGGCTCTCTTCACAGCCTTCCCTATAGAAAGTCTAAAACTCTTGGAGCTAGGTATGTAGCACAGTGATAGAACATGTGCTTAATATGTGTGAGGCTCTGGGTTTGATACCCAGTATCAAGCAACCAACCAACAAATAATTGGTGACCAGCAGTCACCAATCGGCAAAGACTGTAAACTGCAACTTTATTTTCTTTTTTTTTTTTTTTTTTGGTTTTTCGAGACAGGGTTTCTCTGTGTAGCTTTGCGCCTGTCCTGGAACTCACTTGGTAGCCCAGGCTGGCCTCGAACTCACAGAGATCCGCCTGGCTCTGCCTCCCGAGTGCTGGGATTAAAGGCATGCGCCACCACCGCCCGGCTGCAACTTTATTTTTACTTTTTAAAGCTTTTTAAATTTTTGGATAGGGCCACATGTAGCTCAAGCTGGCATCTCACTGGTAGGTAGCTGAGGATGACTTGGAACTCCTGATCTCCTGCCTCTACTTCCAAGTGCTGGGATTACAGGGATTTGCTACTATGTCACACTCTCAAGGTGCTGGGTTTTTCGTTTTATTTTGTTTTATTTTTAAACGTATGGGGTGTTTTGCCTGCATGTATGTCTGTGGATCATATGAGTGCCTGGTGCCCAAAGAGTCCAGAAGAGGGTATTGGATCCCCTTGAAACTGGAGTAATTGATGGTTGTGAGCTGCCTTGTGGGTGCTGGTAATTGAACCTGGATCCTCCAGAAGAGTAAGCAGCCAATGCTCCTAACTGACGGGCCATTTCTCCAGCCTCATTAACTTTTATAAAGATTAAAAAACAAACAGATAAAACAAAACACATGTAATGGCACAGACTTGTAATCACCGGGCTGGGAAAGCAGAGGCAGGAAAATGGTTACAAGTTCAAGGCCAGTCTGGGATATATACTAACACATTGTTTTACAAAAATATTTTATCCCAGCATTCAGGAGGCAGAGGCAGACAGATATTGAGTATGAGGCCAGGCTGGTATATATAGTGAGTTCCAGACCAGCCTAAGGCTACACAGTGAGATCTTGTCTCAAAAAACAAACCAAGATGGGTGATGATGGTACATACCTTTCTTTAGTCCCAGCATTTGGGAGGCAGAGGCAGGTGGATCTTTTTTTTTTTTTTTTTTTTTTTGGTTTTTCAAGACAGGGTTTCTCTGTGTATCTTTGCGCCTTTCCTGAATCTTGCTCTGTAGACCAGGCTGGCCTCGAACTCACAGAGATCTGCCTGGCTCTGCCTCCCGAGTGCTGGGATTAAAGGCATATGCCACCACTGGCTGGTGCAGGTGAATCTTTGAGTTCGAAAATAAAAACTTTAAAATAGTCTTTGACCAAGTAAGTCCATAAAAAACTAGAAATGACTGGAAAGGAGGTGCATTTCAGGGTCAGGTAGAAACCCGGTGCAAGGGAAACTCCCAGGAATCTACAAGGACAACCCCAGCTAAGACTCCTAGCAATAGAGGATTTGTAGACTGAACTGGCCATCTTCTGTGATCAGGCAAGACTTCCAGTGGAGGGACTGAGACATCAATCTAGCCACACAACCTTTGACCTGTCTATAGGATGTACAGGGTGGGGGTGGGGTGTAAGTGTGGCACAGAGATTGTAGGAGTGACCAACCAATGACTGGTCCAGCCTCAGACCCATGCCAAAGAGTGAGTCCACCCCTGACACTGCCTGGAGTGCCAGGACCCAGAGGCTGGATGGCCCAGAGACCTAGAATAGAACCAAATATAATTGGAGGGGGAAAAATGTCAACGTAATGATGCCTAACGATTTTCTGCTCTACTCATAGGTTGGTGACTACCCCAATTATCATCAGAGAGCCTTCTTCCAGTAACTGATGGAAACAGATGCAGAGACGCACAGCCAAACATTAGGCCAAGCTTGGGGAATCCTGCTGAAGAGAGGAAGAAAGGATCATAGGAGTCCAGGGTTGTAGGGTCAAGGACATCACAAGAAAACCCACAGAAACAACTAACCTGGCTCATAGGAGCTCACAGAGTCTGAACCAACAACCAGGAAGCCTGTGTGGGACCAACCTAGGCCCTCTGCATATATGTGACAGTTGTGTAGCTTGGTCTACTTGTGGGACTCCTAACAGTGGGAGTAGGAGCTTGTCCCTAATTCTTTGGCTGGCTTTGGGGAACCTATTCCTCATGCTGGATTGCCTTGCCCATCCTTGATACAAGAGGAGGAGCTTAGTCCTACTACAACTTGATATGCTTTGTTGATATCCATGGGAGGCCTGGCCCTTTCTGAACAGAAGCAGAGGAGTGGATGTGGGAGGGGCAAGGGAGATAGGAGAGGGAATGGGAGGAGAGGAGGGAGGGGAAACTGATTGAGATGTAAATAAATAAATTTAATTAAAAAAATTCCCAGCTGGCAGTGGTGGCACACGCCTTTAATCCCAGCACTCGGGAGGCAGAGGCAGGTGGATCTCTGTGAGTTCGAGGCCAGCCTGGTCTACATAGTGAGTCCTAGTCCAGACAGGGCTACATATTGAGATTAAGACTGAGATTAGGTCTCCCCCAACCCTTCAAATAAAACCAAGGTTTGAGAGATTTGAAACAAGACTATAGTTGGCCATCTAAAAAACAGGAGAAAAAGGCAGGGTCTTCTAACAACCACCAGAGACTGGATGGAACCATTCCTCCAATGTTACAAAGTAAATATATGCTCTACCACTAGACCGCAGGCTGACAAGTATACAATGTTAGTAAGCAAAGTTCTTATGTTTTATTTTATTCAGAATAGAGTACCTCTTGTACCTCTTCCTCCAGGAGGGCCTTCTCAGAGTCCTACATAAAATGACAACTGATTAAATTACCATTGTATCCATCAAGGGCTTGAGAAACTGCATCCTTGGCGACTGTCTCATAAACCAAGTCCTGGGAGGCGTCATGAAGAACTCCATCCAGCTTGAATGACCAGTCTGTCTGCTGGTTATTGACAGCTCCTCTCCGAGTGTCTTTTTTCAAGTGAATGTCAATGCTCTAGGGAAAAAAAGAGCGAGACAGGGAGAAGCCAGGTATGGGTGACACACACCTGAAATCTCAGCCCTTGGAGGCTGAGTCAGGAGGATCTGGAGTTCCAGGACAGTCTACATAGTGAGAAACATCACAAAAAGAAGAGGGGGTTGGAGCTACTTTTAGGAAACCTTTGTAAAAAGACCCTGTGATAACACTCAGGAAACAGAGGCAGGAGGATCTCTGTGAATTCAAGGCAGCCTGGTCTACATAGAGTTCCAGGACAGCCAGGGCTATATAGGGAGACTCTATCAAATAAATAAGTAAATAATCACTGATAACTGAGGCCTGACTTAGAGAAAACAAAGAATGTGAAGCTTCCTAAAAGTTTTTTAGATTTATTTTTTATTTTACATGTGTGAATGTTTTATGTGAATGTATGCATGTGTACTGCATGTGTGCCTGGTACCTGCACAGCTCAGAAAAAGGGTGTCAGATCCCCTGGAACTGAAGTTACAGACAGTTGTGAACTGTCATGTGGGTGCTGGGAATGAAGCGCAGGTCCTCTGCAAGAGCAGCCAGTGCTCTTTATTACTGAGCCATCTCTCCAGCCCCAATTTATCAGGTTCTAATTAAATTAGATTTAGTTACAGCCCATACGTATAGAAGCTTTGAATTAGGCAACAGTGGCAGTGAAATTAGAAACAATGGCCCTGGCTCAGGCCTTGTCTGTTTGGCTACAGGTGTTGACACCCCTCCATCCTCTTCACTATGTCCAGGAATTACTTCCACAAACAACTGTGAGCCAAGGGAGCAATGATGGAATGGTCACATAAAGTCTCTGAATTTTTCAGACACAGTCTTTTGTGTCAGTGTAAACTGAGAGTGCCCAATCTACTTGTGTTGGGGGACATTCGATCACACTATGAACGAGTTTGCATTTGCATTAATGAAATAAAATTAACCTTGGGTCAGGAGGCTGCCTTAGCAACTAGTTGACAGAAAGTAATCATAGAGCCTGAGAGGGCATTCGGGAGAGGGAGAGAGACACAGGAAGTAGTAGGGTGGAGTTCAGAGTGAAACAGCCTTTTCTAGTTTGGTGAAGCAGAAGCGCGGGTCTTTCAGAGACACCAGCAAGGAGGGAAGGTCAGCTAATTGTGACCCAGCCTCTCTGAGCTGGCAGGTTTTCACACCAGCCTTTGAATCTTGAATCTTATTTATAAATAGAATGACAGAGATTTAGTTAAAGTGAGAGACCGAGACAGAGCCTGTGTCTGTGGGAACAGGATTCCTGCCAGGCTGTGGCCTGAGCAGACAGGCTGCTGCTAGAGAAGCAGGCTGGTAAATGTGGAGCTGCAATTGCTGGCTGAAATAGCATTAGATTAAAGCGTAGCCATTGTGCCGAAGTTTAAAACAACATACTTGTAATCAGATTTTCAGATGCACCTTCAACCGATTCCCAGTAAGATTTCAAGTTTTTTTTTTTTTTTTTTTTTTTTTTTAAAGACTTTTTTAGGATATGAAGGCTCGCTTTGAATTTGGGTATTTGGCTTTTTCCTCTCGGTCTCTCAAATGTTCAAACCACAGTATAGCACCATGCCAGCTTATTCCAAGCTCTTGATGGGGACTCTCACTGAAATCTACTGGCTGCTGTAATCCAATAACCAAGACGCAGCCACCCAGAGAAGAATAAAACTAAGGCCAAGACTGATGGGGTCACAAGGTGTGGTGACGTGTGCCTATAACCCCAGGACTTGGGAAGGAGAAGCAAAAGGATCAGGAGTTCTAAATCATCCTCTGGAAACAGCCAGTTTAAAGCCGGCTGGGTTACATGAGACCCTGTCTCCAGAAAGTCAACCACCACCACATATTAAACGTTGCCTCACGAGCTCCATGCTCTCTGCTCTGTGTTTGTTGAAATTGTGCCCATGGAGCACATCATCCACGGCCATCCTTGAGGTCTTTTCTGACCATCAGGACTTGCAAGATTTGAGCAATTTGTTCTTGAATTATTAGTTTAAAAAAGGTCTACCTGAGGGCTTCGGGACGGCTCAGTGAGGAAAGGTGCCTGCCACCAAGCCTGACAACCCGAGTGCGACTCCCCAGGACCCATGTGGAGGGAGGAAAGAACCTACTCGACAATCCTGCAAGTTGCTCTCTGACTTCCATATTTGTGCTTTAGCAGACATGTGTGTGTGTGCACCTCCCCCCACCAGACAAACAAATGAAAGAAAAAAAAGTTGAGAATCTCATGAACTTCCTCCCTAACAGGGTAGTTTGGAGTTCATGGACTCTAGAGTCCACCTGAACATTTATCAATGCTGTCTTAGTCCTTCTGTTGAAAATTGTATTTGTGTGTGTGTGTGTGTGTGTGTGTGTAAATGTGCATACAACAGCATGTGTAAGGAATCTGGAGGACAGCTTTTAGGAACTGATTCTCTCCTTCCACCTTGTGGATCCAGGGAATAGAATTCAGGTCTTTACACTCGGTGGCAGGCATCTTTACCACTGAGCCATCTCTCCAGTCCCTCTGTTTTGATCCTTGAATGGCTGCTGGAAAACAAGGTCACACTGACCTGGAGAAGGGAAAGTAAACACTTACTTTGTTGTCCCCTCCATACGTGATCATTTCATGAGCAAAGTCATCGGTAGGCTTGACACGGACAAACGCCTGAACCTTCTTCCTAGTACCCATCCTGGCTAAAGAGAAGAGAACAACAATGTCATTAGCAGTCATCATAAAATACCGACTAGAGGGGCTGGAGAGATGGCTCAGTGGTTAAGAGCACAGCCTGTTCTTCCAAAGGTCCTGAGTTCAATTCCCAGCAACCACATGGTGGCTCACAACCATCTGTAATGAGATCTGGTGCCCTCTTCTGGCCTGCAGGGACACATGCAGGCAGAATACTGTATACATAATAAATAAATAAATCTTTAAAAAAAAAAAAAAAAATACCGACTAGAAGGGAGAGGTCATTTGTCAAGATCGGAATAAAAGCCTGGCATGGTGGCACACACATGGAACACTAATGCTTGAGAAGTGAAGGCAGGTAGGTCAGAGTTCAAGGCCAGCCTCAGCTCCATTGTGAGTTGGAGGACAGCCTGGGCTACAAGAGACCAGTTGCAACCCACTGTTACTACCCAACAAGTACATGTGCCTCCTGTCTTATAGGCTGCTTTGCCATTTTCCACCATGACTCCAAAGAGACTGAAATCCAAAGCAAAAAGACTGCTCCCTTTAGTGGCCTGATTTTAGCTGCTGTTTCTAGAAATATCCTATATCTAAGATGAACTCATTTATTCTATTTTCTTCAGACATACTTGCCTGGAACACATTAAAGCCAGTTGCCTTTTCTTCACTAACAGACCTTCTTTCATGCCCCTGTCTCCATCAGACTAACTATATGAGAATAGATTAAGTATCTTTTAAAACATATGTTTATTATTATTATTATTACTAGGGATGAGAGACACCTGCCTCAGCATGTGGTAGCAGTCAAAGGACAACAGAGTCAGTTCTCTCCTTCCACCACATGGGTTTCAGGGTCAGACTTGTGTCGTCAGGATTCCAAGGCAAGCACTCTATTTGCTGAGCCATCTTGCTGGCTCTAGATTAAATATTCCTTTTATTTTATTTTGATTTTTATTTGTGTATGTCTGTGTGAGTATATGTCACATGTGTGCAAAGGGCCCTTGGAGGCCAAAAGAGTGTGTCTGATCTTCTGGAGCTGTTGTTACAAGCAGTAATGAGCTGCCTGACATGGGTGCTGGGAAGAGCAATAAGCACTCTTAACCACTGAATCATCTCTCAAGCCCCAATTAAGTGTTCTTGCTCTAGTCCATAATCAAACAGTCTTTCTTTACTCATGTAATGAAAAAAAAAATCAGTCTCGTCCCCTCTTGCTCTCTCAAAACTTGATATTCTCACCTTTAAAAAAAGGTTTATTTGTTTTTATTTTATGTGTATGGGTGTTTTTCCTGCAGAAATGTCTGTGTGTAACGTATGTGCAGTGCCTCTGGTGGCCAGAAAAGGGTACTGGATTCCCCTGGGACCAGAGTTACAGACAGTTATAAACCACCATGTGGGTGCTGGGAATTGAACACAGGTCCTCTGGAAGAGCAGCCAGTGCTTTTAACTGTGGAGCCATCTCTCCAGCCCCCTCACAACAGGGAGCCACATGTATATTTGTCTTCAGTCACTATACTATAACAAATCATATATGTATGTGTATATATGTATGTATATTTTAAAATAATGTTTGATGTAGCTTTGCGGGATGAACACTTTGTAAAAGAACAGGATAGAAGTAATAGGGAGGCAAGCTTAGTTAAAAGACATTTCTAACTATGAAGAGTTGTCTCATAACAGAAACTAAAGGCCAAGTAAAGTCAAAATGCTAGTCAAAAGAGATGTTACTAATGGGACTGGTGCGCTGAATTCCCATAGTGGGGAAGCAAAGAAGTGATTAAATAGAATTGATAATTCAACTAATTTGTTTTGTCTTGAGACCAGGGCTCATGTATCCCAGTCTGGCCTTTTAAAATTAATTCATTTATTTTTAAAGTTAACTTTAATTTTAAAATTAAAATGAATTCATTAACTTAATTAATTGTGTGGAAGTCAGGATACAAATTTGTGGGTTCAGTTCTCTCCTTTCACTTTTACATGAGCTCCAAGGATGAAACTCAGGTCACCAGACTTGCAAGGCAAGTAAGCGCCTTTACTCATGAGCCATTTCACTGGCCCAATGCTGGCCTTGAACTCCTTATCCTCCTGTCTTCACTTCCCAAGTGCTGAATTACAGACATAACTGCAGCGCCCAACTAATTTTTACAACTTTAAGGACTGAAAACTTGGTCACTTTTTCAAGTGTCTCATGATACATAGTGATGATGAAGGACTAAATGATGACACCAAACCCTAAGAGCTCTAAGGAGAATAAGTAAAATCTACTTGTAAAAATCATTAATTCTGTTAAATCTAGCTAAAGTGCACTGAAACAATCAAGAAAAGCCTATGAAATACATACTAAATAATTTAATTGTTCTTAGGCAAATTGGCACAGTAGAGTTTTAAGTTGAAGCATTTTGTGTGTGTGTGCACATACTCACCTGTGAGTGTGTGTGTGTAGAAGCTAGAGGCAGAAATGGGATGCCTGCACTATTGATCTCCACCATAGATTTTGAAGCATGGTCTGTCACTGAACCTGGAGCTCACCATTTTGGCTATACTTGCTGGCCAGAAATCCCACAGGATGTACTTGTCTCTCAGCTCCAGCATGAGCAGCTTTGTGTGGGAGCTAGGGATCCAAACTCGGGTCTTCATGTTTGAAGCAGCAAAGACTTTACCCAGTGAGACATCTCAGAGCTCTAAGATGGGCTTCCTAAGAGTCAGGTGTGGTGGCAGCACTATGCCTGCCTAAAATCCCAGCACTTGGGAAATGGAGGCATGAAAATACATAAAAATACACGTTCATTATGTCATTCTCAGTGACATAACAAGTTCAGGGCCAGTCTGGGATAAATGATGTCCTGTCTCAAAACAAAAACAAAAACAAAAACAAAAACAAAACAAAACAAAAAACAAAAAAACCTTTGGAACTACTATTGTACAATGTACAAAACAAAATTTAAATACAGACAACACATAGCAGGATGTAAGCTGCACTATACACTTCCCCTTTAATTGCCCCATTAGGGATGGGCCAGTTCAAGAAGGAATAAAGCATATTCCCCCAAAGTAACCTGCACTTGTATTGAGGGAGGAGACAGGGAAGGAGAAGACACAGAGGGGAAACCATTTATCAGCAAAAGAAGTGGCTGAATTTATAAAAAATTAGGGAAATGACAGACAAAGGAAGCTGATTCATTCTTCTAACAAACTTGAGGGGTGTTTAATGATTTTTTAAAACCTTTACAGAAAAACATTCCCATGTGAAACAGAACCTCTTCTAATATTCATAAAAATCATATAAAGGGCCAAATGTGGTGGTGCACGCCTTTAATCCCAGCACTCTGAAGGCAGAGGCAGGGGGATCTATGAGTTTGAGACCAGCTTGGAGAACATATCAAGTTTCAGACCAGTGAAGGATACACAGTGAGACCCTGGGTCAAACAAACAAACACATGAAGAAGGATAAAAGGGCCAACAAGATGGCACGGGTAAAGGCACCTGCCACCAAGCTCGATGGCCTGAGTTTGATCCCCAGGACTTACAAGGCAGAAGAAAAGACCCAATTCCTCCAAGCTATTCTCTGATCACAAGCTATTCTCTGGCACACAGGGGCACACACACACACACACACACACACACACACACACACACACACACTTACACTTAATAAACTATAATAAAATATTAAAAGCATATTGAATAAGTAATATTTTACATGTACTTTTCTAATAGAGGTGCAATGGTGCTACCTAGATTTTAAAAGTATTAATGGCTTTCACATTTCTTTTTTTCTTTTCTTTCTTTCTTTTTTTTTTTTTGGTTTTTTGAGACAGGTTTTCTCTATGTAACAGTCCTGGCTGTCCTGGAACTGGCTTTGTAGACCAGGCTGGCCTCGAACTCACTGAGATCTGCTTGCCTCTCCCTCCCAAGTACAGGGATTAAAGGTGTGCACCACCACCGCCCAGCCCAGCTTTCCCATTTCTAAACACAGCTTGGGATCATTTCCTCTTAACATTACATTACCCACCATCACTATGGTGTTATGTAGCCTACAGAAACAAGTTCAATGAAAGGTGCTGCCCTTCCAGCTTACAGTTTCAATGCTGTGGATAAAATGGAAGCATCACCCATCACATGCACTGCAGCTGTCAAATCAAGCACAGCACTCCCAAGTTTGCCTGTCACAGTGAGCATTTCCTGCATCCCTCCAGTCATTATTTCATGGAAGTCTTTTCCTGGCACTCTTGGATCTTTTAGAATTTTTTGTTTTTTAGAAAATTAATCTGAAGCCGGGGTAGCAGTGGCACATGCCTTTAATCCCAGCCTGGTCTACGGAGTGAAACTACACAGAAAAACCCTGTCTGGAAAAACCAAAAAGAGAGAGAGAGAGAGAGAGAGAGAGAGAGAGAGAGAGAGAGAGAGAGAGAGAGGGAGGAAGGAAGGAAGGAAGGAAGGAAGGAAGGAAGGAAGAAAGAAAGAAAGAAAAGAAAGAAAGAAAGAAAGAAAGAAAGAAAGAAAGAAATTAATCTGAAAAATTTTAGGGTAAGAAAAGAACGTAGCTTGGTTGAACATTTTTGTCTGCAAAATTGAACTCTAAAAAGAAAATCACACATAGCTCTAATGTGAAACACAAACTGAGGAAACTGAAGGGAAGATTTCATTTCCAATTTCATTTTGATTTATATTATGGAGAAACTGAGAGTAGGGAGAAGTGGTGTGTTGTTCACGATTTTAAATAATTTTCCCTTGATATAGTATATCACAGTGTGGTCCAGGCTGGCCTTGAACCCTCAGTCCTCTTGCCTTAGCTTCCCAAGTGTTGGGACAGCATCTCCAGGTGACAGGTGGGCTTTTTACTCAATTCCTACAGCTCTGGGAAACCCTCCCCAACACAAATCCCAAGAGCCCATCTTCCTGCCCAGGAAGATTCCAATGCCATTGAGTATAACCTCTGGAAGGGATCACAAAGAATCCAGAGAGTTCTGGAAGCAAGTTCACAGGCCAGCTCAAAGAACTTCCCAGAGCTTTCCTCCTTTTTTGCCCTGAAATTTCTAACATGCGCATGCACATGCAGGCACCCATCTGTTATTTCCATGGTTCCCTTGATGCTCATGCCACCAGACATTCCTGGAGTCATATGCAACCTGCCATGAGTCTTTCCAATGGTCTACACTCCTCCCATGAGCCTACTACTCCATAGCACATCAAAGCCACATGCCATTTTGCACTTACTGAAATACTGCTTGTTACCGTTCTTATGCCGCTTCATTTATGTGGGCTTCAGTTCCCAAATCAAATTACAAGCTGCTTGAGGACAAGGACTGTGCCTTTTATCTCTTGTGATTCCCCCCACAAAGTCCAAAACAGCGCCCAGCACACAGCAGGTGCTCAAGAAGTGGTGGTTGGTGGTGATACTCATGGCTGGAAGTCAGAAGGTGACTGAGTCTCCATAGGTGGGTCCATCTTCAGTCACTACTGAGAAAGTTCCAAGGTATACGATGTCACTCCTCTCCCACACTACCTCTAACCCCTGAACCTGCAGACTTCTTGAAAGGACACTTCATTTCCAGGTACAAGAAGCTATGTTCAGTCTCAACACACCCTCCCCATAAGGTAGTGTACCTTTCCCTCAGGACTTTGTACAGAATACCCCCAGCCATTTGAACACAATCCTTAGGTACTTCTGGTGTGATACAACGAACTTAAGTAGCCACTAGGAGACCTCTGTGCTGAGAGATTCAGTGTTTATTTGTTTTGGGCCTGGGGATGAGCAGAACATACATGACCCATGAAAGCTTGACAAGAGAAGAAAGGCCATTCGACGGGATGACTGATAGGCACTACGGGTCCCTATCTGCCATGCTCTTTTTAGATCAGGGACAAAGACTGCCCAAGAAACATCTAAACCCACAACACCTACTGTATGTATCACACCGTGAGTGAGATGAACCCAAGATTTGCATCCAGGCAATACCGGCCTCTCTCTTATTTCTCACCCAGAGTGTATGGGAATCCTTTTCTAAAGTGAGTGTGGCAGGCGGCCTCAGTCCCATTCCCGTGCCCGTCTGGAGGGTTTTCCTCCTCTGTAACTCGAATGGCTCCAAGTGGTGATCCCGAAGGTCTCTCTAGTTCGAAAATTGAGGAGTGAAGTGTCTGAACGACCTCTGACACTCAACCTCACGCCTTTTTTGTCTAGGGCGAGTCGTGGGACCCTGGTGGAGACTCGTGGGACTAGAGAACATTAGTTCAGAAACTCCACGCTCTCCTAAGCCGCGATCAGGCTGAAAGGGGCACAACGATAACACGCTCTCTAGGGGTGCGGTTTTTTTGTTTGTTTTTTTTTTACAAATAAAGGCTCCAAGAGGAGTTCGGAACCCAGCCACTGCCAGAGCGGATATCCCCATCAGGTTTCCCTTTTACCTAACACCACCGGCGCGTGACCACTGCTCACCTCGCAAGGAAGCGGCACTCGGGTTGAGTGACCGCTATAGCTGCAGCGACTTGAGGGAGCTCTGTTTGCAATCTGGACAGCCAGCCGACTGGCTGTGTACACAGTCGCCATGGCAACGGGAAGCTTCCAGGGACTCCGGAAGTAGTGTAAGGTGGTGGCGGAATTGAAATTCACGTTCCTCCGCTGAAGACACAGGTAAAGTCAGGGCTGAACAAAGAAGACGGAAATGGAGTCAATTAACCTGAATGGCTTGGAGCAGCTGTATATGCGAAACTGGAGTATAGGTTGCGGGGTGGGGGGGAAGAAGGCTGTGTATGAACCAGGAAGCGGGGCAGCGAGACTTCCGGTGCAGAGGAATTTGCGAGTACGGCGGCCGCGCAGGCTTGTGGTATTTTTGCTTCGCGCTCCGAGCTGCCGTCGGCGTGCTCCCTTGCCCCGCCCTGGTTAGTGTGAAGCCTGCCGGCCAGGCCTGCGCAGTTGCAGCGCCCGGGGAAGATGGTGGAGGACGGCACCGAGGAGCTGGAGGACTTGGTGCATTTCTCCGTGTCGGAGTTGCCTAGTCGTGGCTACGGCGTCATGGAGGAGATCCGGCGGCAGGGCAAGCTGTGCGATGTGACGCTCAAGGTATCGTGGTCTGGGCGGTGGCTGACTGAGGGGAAAGAGACCGAGCGGGAAGAAAAGAGGGGTGGTGGACAGTGGAAGAGAGGTCCCGCGGACTGAGGGTGGAGAGAGGTTAGAGGGAATAGAGTAGGAGGGAGAGCGGTGCCAGGCGCAGAGGGGGATTGAGGCCAAGTTGGGAGAGGGAAAAGGGGCAGCCGTTCAGCCATTGGAAGGAAAGACTGAGAGTTGTGCCGCTGACGCCCTAAGAAAAAGAGACATTGGGGTATCCGCCTCCTTTTCTGTCACACAGACAAGAGAAAATGTTCTTACAGCCTGTCTAGGGAGGAAGGGGCGGTGACTGACTCCACATTCCGATGGACACCACTAAAACATCGTATCTTGTCATAAAGTCATTGCTTTGTGCTCCTTGAAGTTGGCTGTGCTGTTGTAGAGGCTAAGCCTTCTCTTCTGGAGTCATTGCCTGCCCTTGGCGCTTTTAGAATCGGATCTGGAGATCTTTTGGTGTGGACTACTCTGCTCCACGCTAGAAGACAACCCACAGTCACCACCAAGGGCCCTGGAGGCCAGGCTAATGGACTGCTTGGGGAGAGGGATATGTTCACCGCCTGTTCCCTACCAGCATTCTGGTCTGGTGCCCTGTTCTTTGAATCATGCCGGGCTGCCCCTTGACTAAGCTGCTGAGCAGGTGGATCCCCTCCAGGTGGGCAGATGCTGCTTGCCTGTGGTTTTTCCTGCTGGACTTTGCCTGGAAGGCTCTTAGTGTCAGCGCCCGACCCACCCTCTTCCTGTTTCAAAACAGCAGAAAGACACAGACACCTTTTAGCTTTTATTTTCTATTTAGTTGAGGAAACATTGCTTCTCCACATATTCGAGTCAGACTGCTAGGTAGGATCGTTAATAGTTTGGCACTTTAAAAAGCAAAAGAGTCTGAGAGTCTCGCTTTGGAGACAGAGCATTTGCATTAAAATGCTAGCTGTAACCTTGGGCAAGTTACTTAATCTCTCTAAGCCTAGGGTTTCCAAATGTGAAAATAAAGATGACTCTTAAATCTCACTATTAGTGAGGATGAAATGAGATATTTGGTATTCTTTGTATAAAACCTGTCATAACTTTTCATCAATCCTGAAAGAAATGGTTTTCTATTAGAGTACTGAAATGGTCTAAGAAGGGGCAGAATCTTCCCAGGTGAAAGAGGGAAACCAAGAAGATTAAGAAAAACAACCTGGAGTAAAGGGTGCAGAAGATGGCAAGGCCACTAGAGGTTTGGAAGCTGAAGAATGACTTAATTATGACAGTAACATTTGAGATGAGTAGCGACCAGTGAAAACAACCCACAGTCACCACCAAAGGTCCTGGAGGCCAGGCTAATGGACTGCTTGAGGAGAGGGATATATTCACCGCCTGCTCTCTATCAGCATTCTGGTCTGGTGCCCTGTGCTTTGAATCATGCCAGGCTGCCCCTTGACAGAAAGAAGAAAGAAATAAGAAAGAAGTTTTGGGTTAAGATTTAGGCTGTGGACTGGCAATAGGCTGATTAGGTAAAGGCGCTTACTGCCAAACCTGATGACCTGACTGCAAGCCCTGCGACCCACATGGTGGCAGGAGAGAACTGACTCCTGGAAATTGTCTTCTGCTCTCCACCTCCACAGGTGTGCTGTGGCACACACACACACACACACACACACACACACACACACACACACACGATAAATAAAAATGTTTTTTAAAAGATTTAGGCTGTGCCAGGTGGTGGTGGTGGTACATGCCTTTAGTCCCAGCACTCAGGAGGCAGAGGCAGGCGAATCTCCGTGGGTTTGAGACCAGCCTGGTCTACAGCATGAGATCCAGGACAGCCCGGTCTACACAGAGAAACCCTGTCTTGAAAAACAAAAACAAACAAAAAAAGCATAGGTTAGAACTAGACATGACTATAGACTCTCTTCTATAAAGCCTCAGGAGTGCTTGGTGGTAATGGGAGCCATGGAAAGACCAGGTCCACATTTTACTACTCACAAGAGCTGTTCTCATGATCGAGTCTTTCCTCAGACTTCGGTGAGTCCTGTTTTTCAGTTAAGCAGGCACTGAAGACCAGTTAGAGGCTTTTTGGGCATGTGATGATTTAGTAACTAGTTGCCCCCCTATTGGGTAATTGTTCTCAAGCTTCATCAGTATTAGAATCACCTGGTAGCCTTGTTCATTAGAGCTCACCCTAGAATTTCTGATTCATAGGTATGGTGTGGGCCCTGTCGAGTTCACTAGCAATGCTACATTCCAAGTAGTACATTCTAGTACTACATTCCAAGAACCAAGCTATGGAATACTATAATGTATAGACTTGTCCTTTCAGGGCATATTCAGAATCAATGAATCTTCTTTGTATTCAGGGATGCCCTAGTTACCCAAGTCTGGAGTCATGGGTTCATCCTGTTCAGAGAGCAATCCACCTGTTTTTTGTTGGCAGTGACAGAGCAGTTGCCTGTCCAGTAGAGGGGACCGGTACTGCCTGTTTTGGGGCCCTCCTCAGGCCACACCTTCTGAGGAGACTGATGTTCCTAGTGTTCGGAGTTGGAGGCTGTTCTGCAGTTGCTTGACCTCTGCATTGCTCAGAATTCTCCATCAGTCAGGCACTGGCTTGTCTGGTTTTCATCTTGTAATCATTTGTCGATGTTTCTAATCTGTAGCTGTGCTGTATTTGCCTTGGGAACTTTGCTGTTCTCGATGATCTGAGAGGCAGTTGTGGCACAGACTCTGCACGGCTCTGAATCCTGCTCTGCCACTTCATAGCTGACAAAACTTAAATTCCTGAAATGCTAGTGAGTCAGTTTATCCTTCTGTAAATGGACATCATTACCTGCCTGAGTACTAAAGATTCAATTACTTAATGAACTTCAAACTTCATGTAATAAATGCTCAGTGAATAGTAGGTATTTGTGTTTTATTGTTTGTTTATTTTTAGTTTTTTGTGTTTTTTTTAAAGATTTATTTATTTATTATGTATACAGCATGTATGACTGCAGGCCAGAAGAGGGTACCAGATCTCATTACAGATGGTTGTGAGCCACCATGTGGTTGCTGGGAATTGAACTCAGGACCTCTGGAAGAGCAGTCAGTGCTCTTAACCTCTGAGCCATCTCTCCAGCCCCGTGTGTGTATGTGAGTGTGTGTGTGTGTGTGTGTGTGTGTGTGTGTGTGTGTGTGTTTTAGATAGGATCTCACTATGTAACTCAAGCTGGCTTTCAACCTTCCATCTCATGCCTCCCCTTCCTGATTGCTGAATACTGGGATTACAGTTATACACCACCATTTCTGGCTCATTTGTGTGTGTGTGTGTGTGTGTGTGTGTGTGTGTGTGTGTGTGTGTGTGTTCGTGCATACACATGCTCATATATTTTTTATTTGTTTGTTTTTATGTATATGGATTTTTTTTCCATGTACAGATATATACCACTTGTGTGCTTGGTGCCCTTAGAGGCCAAAGAGGACATTGGATCCCATGGAACTACAATAACAGATAGTTGTGAGATGTTGTGTGAGTGCTGGGAATCAAACCTGAGTCCTCTTGAAGAGCAGCCAGTGCTCTTAACCACAGAGCCATCTCTCCAACCTTTAATAATAATGTTTAAAGAGATAAGATCTTAATGTGTTGAGCAGGCTGGCCCCAGACTCTTGTGCTCAAGCCATCTTCTTGCCTTTGTATCCCAAGTAGGTGCATGCCGTTGCATCTGACTCATTAATAATAATTTAGTGATGTTTCCAGAGAAAATATAAATAAATGTATGTGTTTCATTTGCAGGGTTTTGCTTTATTTTATTTGTGTTTTGTTGTTGTTGTTTGTTTTGTTTGTTTTTTCAAGACAGGGTCTCACTATGTAGCTCTGGCTGTCCTGGACCTCACTGTGTAGACCTGGCTGACTTCAAACTCACAGCGATCTTCCTTCCTCTGCCTCCCGAGTGCTGGGATTAAAGGCATGCACCATCACCCTGGTTATTTGTGTCTGTTTTTTGAGACAGGGTCTCAAGTATCTGGAGCTTGCCTTGAATTTGCTCTGTAACTAAGATTGACCTTGAATTTACCGTCATCTTGTTTCTCCCAAGTATTCAGATTAAAGGCATGCACCACCACACGTGGTCTCAGTGTGCAGTTTTGAATTTATCTGGGTTTATTTATGTTCCTTGCCTTCAAAGAGTATGCAGTCCACTGCTCTGCTTCAGTAGCTTGTATTTAACAGTTGAGACCATGTCCAGAAAATGCTTGTTGGAAGTCACAGGCTGGATTAGGCAAACGTGGCGTTAGATGTAGTCTCCATGTTCTCGTGTTGAGTCACAGAAGTGTCCTGACAGAACTGATCTCAGTTACTCCTTTGCGATTTTGAATTAAGCTACATAAGTTCAGCTGCACTCACTCTTAACATAAATGTCCTTATCTTTCCTCCCTTCCTAAGCAAGAGTGAAAGTGAGCAATCACAGGCTCTCACGCCCCCAAAGGTCACTGCTAATACTTGGACCTAGATTTACTTTGCCTTTTGGAGATATTTAAACTTAAATTCTTTGGTAGCCTGTTGGATAATTAAGTAGGAGTGTGACAGAAAAGAGTAATATATTCATTATTTATTTTTTAATAATTTATTTGTATTTTATGTGCATTGGTGTTCTGCCTACATGTGTATTTTTGTGAGGGTATAAGATCCCCTGAAACAGGAGTTACAGACAGTTGCAAGCTGCCATGTGGGTGCTGGGACTTGAACCTGGATTCTCTGGAAGAGCAGCCATCTCTCCAGCCCCTATATTCATTTTTTTAAAATCACATTTTAGCCATGTGTGAAGGTACACACCTTTAATCCCAACACTATGGAGGCAGGGGCAGGTATAGCTCTGTGAGTTCCAGGGCAGAGCTACATAGTGAGACCCTGTCTCTAAATTAATTAATTAATTAAAAATAAAACAAAACCCTTTTTTTTATTTGTAATAACTTAAACTTTTTATTAGAAACAAACAAACAAAAAA